AGTGATTTTTAAAAACATTTGAAATTATGAAATAGCCTGGCAAGTGCAGTATGTAAAATATTGGATCTTCTAAGTTACTGTTTATATGATCATTCCACTCTTTTCAGAATCTTCATTGCTCTTAGACCAGCCAATGAAATATAGGTTTAACCTATATTTGAAACTCTATGTGATATGGCCCTAACTCCTACAATGCCACTTTATTCATGTTTGTGTGTGTATGCACATGTGATGTTTACATCTACAGAGAATACATATATCCCATATATTCCTATGTATTCCATGTATGTTCTTATACTCTATATGTTCTTGACCATTAATTATTCTCTGAAATTGCTTCATGCTTTCCTAACTACTTACGCTTATCTGTAATATTCCTGCCACCTGAAATGCCATCCTCCTTCTGGCCACCTTCTGCTTCTTGAAATCCTAACTGTCCTTAAAGGACCACCTAAAATATTCCTTCTTTCATAATTATTTCCTGAGGGCTCCAACTTTTGCATCACTATTTGTCATCTCTTATGGCACTTATTCTGTCCAGTATTATAATTAATCTATCTATTTGCCTTATTTTCTGCCACCAGATTAAGTTCTGTGTTTGAGACCAAGGTCTGTGTCTCACTCATCTGGATGACTTCTGTGGAGCCAGATATCTTGAGCATGATGTAGGTCGTGGGTATAAAGTGATGAGACCTCTATTTCCTGGTTTGGCTGATAAACCCAATCACAAAGCAATCGTTTTTTAAAAAGGTTTTGAGCAATGTCAGCATTTTTAGAATAAACAGTCTACAGACACCCAGAGAGGGTCACATTTATCTGGATGTTTAGATTTAGCCTGGTTATTCAAAATCAGTTTCTTTTCTCTCTGTGTTTGGTTGTTTCTCAGTTTCCAGTGGGCAGAGCTGGGAATACGGTGAGATTGAACTAGCCACTGTTCATGCTCTCCAAGTCCTCTGTCAGTAGGTTACTAAGAATAGATTAGAGACTGATCACAATTTTTCCTTCCAAACAGACTCGCAAGTAGAGAGAATGACCACGAATAAAACATTCAGTCATCTACTTGCTATCAGTCAAAATAAGTTCACTTAAATGTATTAACACATTCTGGAGGGACTCAAAATGTTTTCAGCGTACTTTTTGGCCCAGTTATGAAAATATTTCTAAAATATTTATTTGAACAACAATTTTCTTTGTCTTCTTAGAACTATTACCCAAGATCACTGTTTAGTTTTTTCCTTTTATAATCTTGTTGCCATTTAACACAGCCCGAAAGTTCCTTACTTACAAGATTTCTTATTTTGTGTATTAAAAGCATTCCTCTTTACCATTTCTGTACATTTAAAATTTTATGAAAGTTTTTCTTTGAATGAATAACATTTGTATTAGAAATGGGAAACATTTATCAAAATGTATGACGCATACTTTCTGTAATCTATATGTGTTCTTACTGATTTGTAAAAATTTCTTAAACACCTTAATAGAAAATGAGCAAAGATGTGATTAGGCCCTCCAAAGGAAAACAAAAACAGGCACTAATACAAAATAAGAAAATACAAATAAAACTAAATGAAAAAACAAATACTAATTAATAAAAAAAAAGCAAATACTAATTAAAAGTGACAAATACGCAGCATCGCTGGTAGTGAGCAGACTGTAAATTAAAACGTGATAGGGAAAAATTGTAAAAGAACAGCTATATCCGGAACTGGTAAAAGCATAGGAAGATGGGTGTTTACATTGTTGCTATAGCTGGAAATTCTAACAACCTTCTTGGAGAACATTTTTGTATGTGTATCAAAGACCTAAGATCCTGTGAGTTATTTGATTCTGTAATTTTCCTCCTACCAATTGATCCTGAGGAAGTAGGTGGAAAATGTGAAATGAAATGTTTACAGTATTTCCATAATAAAACTAAATTAAATGTCCATCATAAAACTAAATTAAGTGTCCCTTGATTGGGGGATTCACTGACTTATGTAGTAAATCCATGCAATGAACTATGGTGTAAATAATGATTAGTTCTTGTCTATTGATGTGAAAAAATATCCATAGGGCATTAAGTTAAAAAAAAATCTTGTTACACATAACATGTTTTTATTCTATTTTTGTTTAGGAACATATTTACAGGGAAGAACTCTGGAAGGACATACACCTTAATTATCTTGGGTGAGGGTGACAGGTTAGATTATGGCAATTTTTATATTCTTCCTAACTTTTGTATTGTCTCTTGTTTTTACAGTAAACATGTATTATTTTTACAATTCAAAAAATTATTTCCATTTTAAAAGAAAAATAAGACCAGATACAATTTTTTCAATTTTATTTTTAGACAATACAATAAAATAATTTTTAGCTATAATTTCAGAAATATTAGTACATTACAATATTGTAATGTCAGGATATAATAATATAAAATATCCAATATATTTTAAATATATTTCATTTGGTTATAGAGTAAACATTAAATTAAGTTTAGTTGCAGTAAGTTACATTTGCTGCATAGAAGAATCTTTGTAAGTTAAATTAGCAATACAATTCAAATTCAGCATTATTGTAATACTTTTATAAATAAGTTACTTAATAATGTTTACCTTGCAAAAAGACCTCTGAGAAATCCATTATTTTAGGACACTCTGAAATTTCAAAGTTGAAGCCCCAATTTGAAAAGAAACAAGTTATTTACATTTTATCTACAAAGTTAAATCTTCATAACATTATAAGCTACTCATAGGCATTTGGAAAGTAATGCATGGAAGCTGTGTTTTAAGGCTCAGTCTCAGAGGTATGATTGAGCTACTGTTCATATGGCTTCTTTGGAATGTAAGGCTTTAGCATCACCTGTCTTCCTCAGAAGTTAAACACTGCTAAGAGGGCAAGAGAACACAGACACTTGGATAAGCAGAGACCAGTAATTTGGCATTAGCACCAATCTAAGGCTTTTACATATTAGTAAAATTAGACAACCTTAGGGTTGTTTGTGATTTTAGACTTTAAAAGGGAGGCACAGATGGAACAATTACAGCCAGCTGTACCTGGTAACTGCCCATACAATTGTTCCTTGGCTGTTTGCCCACAGCAGTTCCTAATTTTGAGTGTGTCAGAAATCACCTGGAGGGCTTGTGAAAATGCAGATTTCCGGGCCTTACTCCTAGAGTTTCTGACTCTACAGGTCTGAGGTGGGCCCTAAAATTTCCATTTATAGCAAGTTCCCAGAGGCTGCTGATGCAGCTGGTCCAGGGACCACAGTTGGAGAACTGTTGTCCTACAGAGGGTTTGTGGCCATCAATTAGACCCTGTATGCCATAATGATACAAAAGGGACAATAGGATATTTTTAGAGCAAAAAAGTCTTAATATTAGGTGAGTCTACGTAAGTAATCTAAGTAAAATGCACTTTATAATGTTTAAATGTAAAAATGGCTTGACAGCAGTCACCTGAGCAGGGAAGTGTGGGAACCGAGGTCCCAACCTGTGCTATCCTCTGGGGTCACACCTTCACTTACAGAGCAACTGAGACCAGAGCAATAACCTGAATTTAAATATCAGCACCATCAATGCCACCTGGGTGGATCAAGAAGTATCTTCAGAGCTTTGCCTCGGATACCTGGCCTCTCAGATCCATCACATAGTGTTACCATCGAGTTCAAGTTGTACTTAGCGCCTTGCAGATCTTTGTTTTCTTAACGTTGTTCCTACCTTGGCTTCTGTGACGCCCAAGAGAAGCTAGATGTCCTGGGCTTTCTCTGGCCAGAGACCTTCTTGTAAACCTTTATTGAGGCCTACTGAATGATGATGATGGAATATAAGAACAGTGACAAAGGAAGAAAAAGGGAAAAAAAGCTAGCTCAGATATGTGGGAGTCCTAACAGTAACAGTAAGTTAGTCACCTTTTCTGGGATATCAGATCAGAAACAGTCTCTTTTTCTCCCCCTTAGTATCTGTAATTTAGCACTTTCCCTGGGGCCTGGGTTGAGGCTAAATGAAATGCTTGTTCAGCTGATTTAAGTAACTTTGGGAATGTATCAACACACTGAAAAGCAAGTCTTAAGACCTATTATCTGCAAAGCTATACAATTTTTACATTAAGATTTTTATAGGACTCTTTCAACACAGTTGGTGAGAGTATGTAACATAAAACACAAAATTTTTTACAAAAGAAGTAGGGAAATAATCAGGGAATAAATCTGGAAATACCCAGGTTACATGGAATATGAATGGATTACAGCAAAGGAAAAATATTTTGAGCCTAATCTGATTAGTCAGCAAATGTCGTAAGTTTTCTCAACATTTATAGGGATGGGGATAAAGCGCACATCCAATAAGTAGTATCCTTGTTATCTGGGTGGGTGAATTGGTAAAAAAAAAAAGGAAGTTAGATACATTTCAGAGCATGAGTGTAACATTATCCTATTAAAATTAATTCACTAAGGGTAAAAATTTGAATGCTAGCAGGTTACATTGCTGCAATGAAATGAATTCAATGGACAAATAAAAAATCTTTTAAAAAATATGAACAAAACCATTCAGGGAAACCCCCTTTTGGCCTTAGTCTTGGGTATACTTGAAAGAGCCCTAGAATATCTATGAACCTTAGTTTAGTTCTGGTTTCCTCAGGCCTTAGGTTACTGAACAGGTCTCAAAGTCCAGTCCAATGCATGAGGTGCCATTACTCCACATGCCCCCCATCTCCCTCCTGTCTCAGGGGCTAAAGGGGGTGGTGGCACAATCTAAAACCAATTTAGTCTCCCTGAGTCTCAACAACTGGAATAGAAAGGGGCAAATCTTGGGAATCCAGTGGATCAAATAGCTTTTAACTTGTAGCACCAAACTTCATACCATTGCAGTTGAGGCCGTGCATTGGATGCAAGTGGAATAGGATTTCAGGGGTAGTTTTTGAAAAGTCTGCTGCCTTGCCATAGGAAAGTTTGCAAGAGCACAGATTAGATACTAGGATTGCAGAACTGACTTAAAATAAATGCTTTGTTATGTGGGGAACAAATAGAAACTTTGCACTAAGTCATCAAGGAACCATATTGTTTGGTTAGAGAAAAATACCAAAATAAATGCATATTCTGCATCATTACTTGGTTATTTAGGATGAAAAAGAACAGTTCTGTTTTCTTTTGATTTCTTCATTGTCTTCTCTTCATGCACACCCGACAGCGACTTATTATTTTTTCTAACTCCCCAGCTTTCACAGTTGACGGAATAGGTTTTCTGAAATAAAAGCAAAAAGTGCAAACAAAGAATCTCATCAATGTATAGGTAAAGAAGGAATATTTGCTGGGTTTGAGATTTATTAATAAATATTGTAGCTCATCTAAACTCTATTATAGGAGGCATATTTCTGAAAAGGTATATATGTCAATGTTTTAGAATTTAGTTGTATTTCAGCCGCAGTGAGGAAAACATAGCAGTGAGGAAAACTCTACAAACTTAGAGATTCTCTGTTTTGTAATAAAAACAGCCTTTGTCCTTTAAACAGTCTGGGTCACGCACAAGTCTTCCAGTACAGTAAATTAAGAGCAGCAGATCATTTCATGGTTTTATTCTGTAATTTGCTATAAGTTCATATACAAATGTTAAATATATTTGTTGGTGACAAAAATCACATTTTTGGGCCTTTATTGATGCAGTAGTACAAACCCATGGATGGCTACAAGTTGACTGTGGAACAGTTTGTAAACTGGGAGTTCTGAACTAAGCAGGATTTTGTTGTCACGGGGATCTCTTTTAAACATGAGTTCATCAACACATAGGTAATGAAAATCTAACATGGCAACCTCTGAATAGTTCAGCAACTGAGTCATGAGATTAAACTTGACTTTGAATAGTTACCTGAACATTCTTTGGGGGTTTAATGAAGCCAACCAGAAACTGTAGGAATTTGAATAGTAGTTGCACGTTCCTCTTCCATGGCACTCTATGAATGGACTGGCTCGGAATTCTTCCAGGCAGGAGCCAGGGGAGGCCAGAGCTTGCCCAGCACCCTCAGAACCTGCACTTGTGAACTATCACAATAAAAATACATGGATAAGAATTCTGTGCATGGTGTTCAAACTTTCAGTGCTTTACTTTTTTTTTTTTAATAGTAAGAAAAAAAGTAGTATGAAATAAACTTATGCTTTTTTATCCAAATCTGCTAATACTTCAGGTACCTTCCAAGTTGAGTATTAGTCATCAAAAAAAAGTAAAAGCTATTTCTTTGGCCTGAAATCCTCCTTTTCCTCAGTCAGCTAGCTCATTTTTATAGTTCAGGGATATGCTTAAATATAACCTCCAGGAGGCTTTCCTTGACCTCGTCCCTTTCACAATCTCCTCTTTCCTTCAGAGTACTGACCACCATCTAAATTCATTACTATTATGGTTATTTTGTCTTTTTGTTTATTGTGTACCTTCACCACTAAGATATATGTTCCATGGCCAGCAGGAACTTTGGTTCATTGTTGGTATTCTTCTTAGTGCTTAGAACAGTCATGGCACATGGTAGGTGTTCAATAAATACTTTTTAAATTAATGGTTGAATGAATGGAGGAATGGATGTCTGTGAGTAAAGAAAGAGGAATGATGTATCCTAAGTGATGCTATACAAAATATGAATAACCACCAACCAACCACGTTTGGCTCTCAGAATCACTGATGGTCAGGGCATAGATTTCTTCATTTAGCACTTCACATCTGGAGAATCTTTCTTTAAAAGACTTTTTCTCTTAGCCCCCATCTTGATATGAATGTCAAAGGGGCATAAGTGTAAGGTAAAAAGATTGTGGAACAGACAGACTCAGGTTCAAACCCTGGTTTTACCACTTAGTAGTTATGAGACCTTGGGGACCTTCATTTTTATTTATAAAACTGTAGAAGATAGAAACTACTTCCAGGGTTTCCATAAGGATTATGGAGGATCTATATAAAACAGCTGCCATGTTAAAAAAAAAAAAAAAGGTATTCTATTACTAATTTGGCATTACTCATCACCTGAATGTCTTATTTAGAATTTATGGGTAAAGTCATTTTTTTAAAATTCTCCATTATTTACAAAAAACCAACTTACTTTAAAAAAAAGTATATTTCCAGATTTTCAAGCCAATGTCCCTAGAATACACTGCATATTAGTATCAGGCAGCATCATTCTTGGGGGCCAAATTTCACCCCGTCCAATGTAAGGTTCTAAGGGTAATCTTTACTATGAATTTGCTGTTCCTTTCCTCCTTACCATGATAAACGAAAATCCTTTCCAGAGAGAAATCCAGCCATTGGGACAGGAGGGAATGGCGGTGGTTTGGCTGTGAATGGCGATGGCATTTGTAGGACCTTCACAGACAGTGCATCTGTAATGTGAAAGAAAGAATATGGCAGCTGGGCTGCTTTGATGGCTCAATTGGTTATATGTCTGACTCTTGGTTTTGGCTCAGATCATGATCTCAATGTTGTGAGATCGAGCTCAGCATGGAGTCAGCTTATGATTATCTCTCTCGCTTTTCCTCTGCCCTTCCCCCCACTTCTCTCTCTCTCTAAAATAAATAAAATCTTAAAAAAAAAAAAAAGAAAAAATACAGCAGCATCACCACTTTCTGGACCACGATGTGCTGCCTTACATTACATTACACATGAAATGATTGACCTTGTCCCATCACAAAACTCGAGTTAGATTTTTACCTGCTAATATAAGGCTCCAGGGCCCTGCCAGTAATTGGAGCCATGTCCATTGGCATCGGAGCTGGTGTTGACAGCCAGTATGAATAATCATTTCGAGATGCAAAATTACATACATCGTTGATGTTACAGAACAAGAATGGCATTGTGGTAAACCGCTGCAGGCAGCTGCCTAGAGTTCCTAATGAAACATCGGACTGAGCATCACTTTTAGTTAAGTTAAAATTATTTTGAGTATCATTCCTAGGCAGAGGCTAATTAAAACAATGTGTGACAAAAATAAGACAACCCAGAAGAGTTGTTTGCAGAATGTGTTCTTGAAAAGTTTTAATGATGATAGATATCAAAGAGCCAATAAAAAACAAATTCTCCTGCCCCAACCCTCTTAACACTTCAGGTGACCCTTCCTAATCAGTCTAGCACTTGAGGACTGGTCAAGGTCGGGTGGGAAAATGTCTTTGTTTCAAAGTATTCCCAGTTCTTCATGGGTATGTAATAGCTAATAACTAGACTAAGCTTCAGAAAAGATGCTGCTTTTAAGATTAGAAAGAAAACAGGTGATTTAAGTGAAAATTGTTTGTATTGAATAGGACAAGCTAGACTGACATTCATGAGCTAGGCTCCTTCCAGAGCTGTACATTCCAGAATGAAAATTAGACATTAGGCCAATGTTGTTTCATTTACTGTCTTTAAAAAGTGCTGTAAGGCACTCAGGCTTGTTCACACTACAGAGAAAACTACCCCCATACTATAGAAGTTGACAATATGTCTATGGAACAAAATGAAAACTAGGCTTGGGACATTACCCAGGTCTTGTCCATGGGCTTGTTCATTTCCTTGTACAAAAAGAAAAGAAAATCCACTATAGAGCGGCTCTGTCCCTTCTGGACAGGAGGGAATCGCTGTCGTCTGACTGTGCCTGGTGAAGACGAAGCCTCTCTTCATTGGCCCAGTTGCAGGAGGTCCAATGTGTCCAGGTTTCCCCTTCAAGCCTGGCAGTCCATCTGATCCAGGTGGTCCTTTAAAAAACACGTCATATATGTTTCAATACAAACAAAACCTCAAACTCCATTTCCCATAGTACTAATTTCAGTGTTGATGTATATCTGGTAAGCTCCTCTTGAAGGAGTCCTAAAGAAGACTGACTTACAAAATGGCCAAACAATATTAAATGTTGATTGTTTATCACACAATGCCTCTTCTTATAAATATTTGTGTATATTGTATGATGAATTTTTGAGATCAGGTCTTCTTTCTGTTTTCATTCTGTGGCACCTAGCACAGTGGCCTGCATCTAGTAGGTCTTACGTATATTTTTTTATGTACAAGTCAGTGCATTCTACAACAAGAGTGAATAAGTCAAATACAATTTGAAAGTCTCTTCAGGTGGATAATAAAAAATGACATGTGCTTTTGGTAAAGTTAGTAAATACTCGTGGAAAACACTGAAAGTTCTTTTTAAAGGTGTAAACTTCGAGAAGGTTTTAAATCAATGAGTAAGGCAAATAAAAACAGAAAAGACTTTTTTCTTTTAGTGTGATAAGAGTTTCTTTTATTTATAAGTTTAAGGCAAAGTAAGTATTTTTGATACTTTTTTCTCTGCACTAGAGTAGGCAAATTCACGTTTGTCACTTTCTAAATAAGGACCAGAGAGCTCTCCTTTCTCTCTATCCTCCTTTCTTTCCTCTCCTTTTTTTCATCAAATAGCTATCATTTAATGGTATAGGTATTGGCTTCCATCCCCTCTTGGTCCCTGATCCATTTCCACTGCCAGTGTACCCCAAGCTCCACCTAACCCACCTTGGGTCCTAAAGAATGCAGGAGGGTAGAGATTGTTGGATTGGGGGCCCACGAGTCAAGGGAGATATTGTTTCCCACAAACAGCCATGCCCTGGAGTCAGGCAGTGCCCCAGTTTAGTCTTGGCTCAGAAGGCAATGCCTTTCTCCACGATCTGTTAAAGCCCTAAGATTCTATATTTTTCAGTCAACCCACATTCTTCTGTTTTCCAGGGGTCTTGGCTTATTCTTTGAAATTAAAAATAGGTCATAGCTAAATTTATCAAAGTTTCATGTCTTACTTGAGTCATCCAGAATTTTATGTTTTTAATATATCAGATGGAGAGGATACACCTTCTTCACTTTTCCCCACATCTACCCTCATTACCAGGGAGCTGTTAACTGGCCACAAGCAAAAGATCCCTCTACTTGTCTCTGCACAGGGATTGTGATTAGCTGAACATGAGAGGAACTGGAGGTAGATTACCATGCAAAAACACATGATCCAGGATATTCTGTATTTCTGAGAGAGAGGCCAGGGCTCTGAGTTTATACATGTGCTATTTAACTCTCAGATCCTTTTATCTTTCTTGTGAGGTGGGTATGGCATCAGGACTAATTCTACTTGCTAATGATTCTCAATACACTTTGTATTGTAGGACCCTCACTCTTACTGTGGTCCTCTTCTGAAACTTGGTCAGTAAATTTTAATTAATAGAATTAATTAGTAGAATTATTAGTAAGAGTTTTGCATCTTCCCACTTTGGAAAACACATTTTAAGGACAGCTGAATGATTAAGCATGCTCTAAAGTGCACTCTTGACAATACTAAATCATGAGTGATTATGCGATTAACATAATATTAGCATTATATTTGATTTAAAGATTTAAGTTTCTAGTCTTTACAGTTTTATTATAGTAGATCTGGTCATATGTCAATAAATTGGAAAACTGCATTTAGAATTTTTTTCTTTAACAAAATCAGCAATTCTTTTGGATATGTAGGTATTTTCTAGAAAGTGCTTTTGAAACTTCTGCAGAATGTAGATTTTGATCCAGGTATATCGAATTGACATATAAACTTATATTCAGACTATTTTTTTAAACAGGAAAACAAGTCTACACCTTTATTTATTTACTTTTCAGTAAGTTAAATCCTTGGGGGGGGGCGTGGCATTACATGGATTCTGTGTTCAGTGGCTTTAGCAGGAAGGTTGCTTTGGAATTTGGCACAAAGAGGAGCATGAGTCACTTTTCTTCAGATTACTCTGGTTTTGTTCAGTTTGCCACCAGGAGTCACTGTGTTGTCCTTTGCTTTGTACACAGAGGCACATCTCTTGCCTAGATAGAATTCAGTTTCATCTGCAGCACAAACACCTTCAATTTTAAGAAGAGCTGTGTGCTTCCTCTCGTTCTGGAGACCCTGCTTAGAGCTAGCAAAAATGACCTTGGACCACAGCCTTCCAGACATAGTTGTCATTTCAGCAGTCCTGTTACCAGGAGGCCCCACTTATTTGCCCCTAAAGTTCAGCACCCTTACCTCCACCCAGACTAAAATATTTAAGAGGGCCTTTTTCAGGATAACACACGAGTTGTTCAGTCATTCAGTATTCATGAACAGCATGGCATAGTTGAAAGATGGCTTTCCTAGATAAAGATACGAAGCTGCTCTTCAGTTCATATCAAGATAATATTGGTTCAAACTATGTACTTGTATGCCACTCATATAAGTAGATATTATTAAATAAGTACTCCTGTAAATAATTAAAAACAGTTCTGGCCTTTCCAAAAATAGAATTCATGCTTTATTAGGTCTCCTTGCCTCCAGGCTAAAAATTTGGAGTACATGTGCCCAGATAAGAGATAGGAAGAATGGTGTACTCCAGTAACTCTACGTTTTTCATCTTCTTCCACCTGAAAATTTTTGTGAACAACACAAACTGAAAGACCTAGATGACTCTTAAAGTCACGTATTTGAATGAGACCTCTCTGTATATTGAAAGAGCATTCCTTCAGTGAAGAGAACAAGCCAGCTGTGTATTTACCTTTCTCTCCTTTACAACCTTTGTTGCCTTTTTCTCCAATTGGCCCAGGAGTTCCTGGTCTTCCATCCTTGCCTGGCTTACCTCTTGGCCCACAGGGTCCTAGGCAAAAAACCAACACTGTGTTGAATGGTTCATACAGGATAAAATGTAGGGTAGCCAACCACCCCAGTTTACCTAGGATTTTCCCAATTTCAGCAATGAAAGTCCTACAAACTGAGCTGTAGACAAACTGGGACAGTTGGTCATCAGCTTGTTATACCATCAAAACCAAACTAGGAACATATGAAATAACATGGAAGTTTGAAATTGTGCTGCCATTTTGATGGACTTTGTTCCAGAATTTTCTATTCTCTTGTACTCATCAAAGTAATATCTCTTTTATATCCCAGATAATTCAGGCAAACTTAGAATGTAACAGTTCTGCTCAGAAGACTCTTATAGGGTGCTAACCCCATACAGAGGGGTTAGTTCAGTTTCCATACACCAATACTTTGAAAAGATTTCTTAAGATCAAGCATACATTTACATTTACTGCTCTTCCAAGTGCTGTACAGAGTGTGAGAACAGTGTCCACACACAGAATTCCAGTTTATTCAGGCAATCATTTAGAAATAGAGTTCTAAGACTGAGTGGCCAGAGAAGATATAAATAATACTTGAGCTTAATAAAAAACACATTTAAGTGCCCTAAAGAATATTTGCTCAAGCTTATGATATACACAACAGTTTTCAGTAGATTCAAAAGGCCTTTTATTTACTGGTCAAGAGTAAAATAAGCTTGATCCTGAAATGGATTGTAAAAAACACCATAATGTGTAACATATTCTGTGAAGTTGTATCACTTGCTTCCAAAGCACTTTGTAGGTATTTTAGTTCGACCCCTTCCTAGTAATCCACATCAGTGCTGCCAGTGCCACACCTAGGATTCCCGGTGGCCCCGGTGGCCCGGGTTCTCCTTGCATCCCTGGTCCTCCAGCACGGCCAGGTGGTCCTGGGCTCCCTGGAAGGGAGATGATCTTAACCGTGCCAGGGTCTCCACGTACACCTATTGGTATGAACATAAGACAGTGATGGCTTCACTGATGAGTTACCCTTTCTTCAGGAAGAGCAACACTAAGGAAATAATACTTACCGGGTGGTCCTTTGGGCCCAATTTGCCCTGGAGGTCCAGCTGGTCCCAGAAATCCCGGATTACCCTTCTCCCCTTAAAAAAACAAAACCAAAACCAAACAAAACATTTGCACGCCCTAAAATATAAATCAAAATCATCATCTTTGTATCCATAGTAGTGCACAAAAACAGTACCTTTCACACCTGGAAATCCATGGAATCCAGGATCACCTCTGAGCCCTGGCAGACCTGGGCTTCCTGGTGCTCCCTGTATTTCAAACAGAAGGGAGCAGAACCAAAGACAAATTTTAAAAATCACAATAGTCACTGCAGTTTTTTTTTTTTTTAAGAAAATAGTATTACATTGGATCAGAATGAGCTTAAGTTGACAGATATCATTTTTACCTTCCCATCCACCCAATCTCCCTATAGCTCCTCCGCCACCTAGACCTTTCCTTAGCGCTATCATTGTCAATAAAACAGAAGCAAAATCTGCCTTTAAGCTCAAGAGCAAACACAACGTCTGGATATTAGTGTCTGTTATATGAGTATTGAATATAATTGAATATATCCACAATGAAACTGCCCAATATTTGGAGATCTTTCAGGAAGAGCAGGCACTGGATTGCCAGAATGAATATTATCATTTTTCTTTGTAATTTTTGCAAAGACAACAAGACCAATATTGAACTGTGGCCCCCACCATTGTTCTAACTGAGCTGGCAGAGTTATAAATTACTCCTGATCAGAGTGGTGGAACAAGTCAAGTGCTAGGGATTGGGATGAAGGGATTGTCATGGGAGTTCTGACTGCACTTTAGGCAAGGATGCGGTGATCTGACCAGGAGGAGATGCTCCCTCCTTATGAGGCCCACACTAAATGTCCTTGTAGCCATGGAATGCTCAAGGAAGGCCACAGGAGAAGGGGGAAGGAAGCAGAGCTTCAGAAAGGAGCTACATGTCAGAACGTAAGTTATATCTAGTATTACACTATCCATGTGAATTGAAACAGAATACTGTTACTTGAAAACAATGAACTGAAGGTCATTCAGAATGCCAAGAATAGCAAAACTGGCCTCCAAGCCAACTGTCTTGAAGAATATGAAAGGAGGAATAGTCCTAATGCTTGAATAAGGTGTTATGAGGTGAAAAAAGGAGAGAGAGAAAACAGAACACCCTGGTCAAGGATTCTCAGGCTCCTGAGGTCTGGCCTGTTCTCCAGAGGCCGAGGTAACCAGGGAGAAGGGTCTGGTGCCAGGCCCAGCCCTTGGGTGAGGAGGGAGCCGCTCCATGCTAGGAGAGGGTTGGTCAGGGCCAGAATGAGTTCAGACATCCTTAAAGAAGAATGACCTTTCAAGTGCAAATGTAGAAGCCCAGTGGACTTAAGCAGGATCCCATTTCCAAACAATACTTTCCACAGCCCAGTGTCCTCGGAAGGACTTGCCCTGTGATTATAGGATCAGTGTTTGCCACTTTCAAAAAATCATGGAGAACATGAGCAATACCGAAGCCTGGGCAAATAATTTCATTTAAAAAAAGGTTTTAAAAAGGTAGATTCTGGAAACCAAATACCAAGAGGACTTTAGAGAATGTAACATGATCCCTGACACACCACCATGCTTAATTAAGATCCTCACTGCCCATCACGGATGAAAACACAAAGATTCTATGACCAAACTCTGACTTTCTCATCAATCTCCCAGAGTTTGAGGTAAACAGGGAAATGGGTTTTTCAAATATGCTGCTAAAGAGAAAGTGAGGAAGACGGTCCAGGTGTCCAGAGAAAAATTCAGAGAATTTCATAGGCTGGGAGCATAAGCCTAATTGAACACAATGACAACTATAAAAAATAAATGTGAAACTTCTGCACCCCAGTCACAAACAAACAGACAAGAACTAAAAGTAATGGAGAGAACCTAGAAGCCATTCATGAGGAAAAGGCAGGTGCATGAGCATGTATGTGTGCACTCACATGCACATGTGCGTACACACACACACACAGACACACAGACACACACACACACACACAAGGCTCTGGTCTATGCAGTGACAGTGTGGGGACATAGGAACTGAACAGCTCAAGCAGAATTTTAGGCTGGATTTTAAAATGGTGATGTTCAAGATGGTGAGACTCCTCCCTCCTTTACCCACTCCATGGCAGAACTGAGTTCTTAATCCCCAGTGGTGTTTGTCTCAGGGGCTGTGTTTTTAAGGGAGATATTGGCCAAGCAGGATATAGTCAGAATATAGGCAGGGTTGATGAAGGATGATACTGAATTTGAAAAGCACAGGTATTTGTTAGGGAAGAAAATACTTGAAGGAAGTAACAGCTACTTAAAAACACTGGAAGGTACCTCAGTGGGAAAAAGTAAATAGACATTCAGGGGGTAGCACAGATAACTTTGAAAACGTTATTAATAGAGAAAAATCATGTTGTCCTCTAGAGTGATCCCAAATTTTTAAAGTGTTTTGTTTTTGTATTTTAAGATTCCGTTACTGGAATTTTTCAGTGTCTAAAGAAGAAAAAGTCAGGAATGACATAGGAAAGGGTCCCCTACAAATCAAGCTTCTAGAGCCCAAATCTTTCCAACTCTTAAGATACTTTGAACCTGGGGCGCCTGGGTGGCTCAGTGGGTTAAAGCCTCTGCCTTCAGCTCAGGTCATGATCTCAAGGTCCTGGGATCGAGCCCCGCATCAGGCTCTCTGCTCAGCTGGGAGTCTGCTTCCCCCTCTCTCTGCCTGCCTCTCTGCTTACTTGTGATCTCTGTCTGTCAAATAAATAAATAAAATCTAAAAAAAAAAAAAAGATTCTTTGAACCTTCCAGACTCTTCTGTTGAGGGCACAGCAGCATCACAAATGGTAATCTTTTTTTCCCTGTGGGTACATCAGACCCTGACAATCAATTTAGAAGAATATAAGAAGAATAATTTTCCAGACTTACTGGTGGACCCGGTGGCCCTTCGGCTCCTATAGTTCCAGGCAGACCCCTGGGGCCAGGCTCACCCATGATTCCCTTGTCTCCTTTGATGCCTCTTACATGGCTCCCTGGAGGTCCCGGAGGACCGGGCTCACCTGAATTTACAAAGGGCCTGTCAGTATTACCAGTCCAGGAGTGTGGCTGGTTCAGTGGGTGATGTTTTTGGACGACAGCAAACTATGCACCTGTTGTTACCCCACACACCTGTTGTTACCCCACACTTTGAGGAGTGTGATGCCTTGTGGTAAAGTCAGAATAAAATAATGCCAGGAAAGCACCTGGCCCAAGATAGGAGCTGTTTCTCCCTCCTGAAGGTCTGTTAGAGCACCTAGCACAGTACTCCATTCGTAGTAGCAACTCAATTAGATCTTGGTGATGGGATGTATCCTTCTCTTTTAGGCTTTTTAATTTGATATTTGCTAATTTTCCAACAGCCTCAACACCACCATCAGTGCCTTTGATGAGCATGATGGTTGTATGGAAGGCTTAAATCAAGGCTGTATACCTGAAACTAAAGTTACATTGTATGTTAACTACCTGGAATTTAAATAAAAACAAGACCACACCACCAGCAGCCCCTTTGCTGCCCTCTATAGGAGAGCAAATGGGTGGGAGAAGAAGACCAGGGGGGAAAAGAAGCAACAAGGTCACACCAGCGGAAGGTTGAAAGCTTTTGTTGTTGAATGTTCTTTTCATTCTTTTATCTTATTTAAAAGTAGACCCTCTACCTGGGATTCCTCTGAAGCCAGGTGGGCCTCGATTTCCTTTCTGGCCAGGGATGATTGCTCCAGGAAAACCTGGTGGCCCTAGGAGTCCCATTATGCCAGTGGGTCCCTGAGGGCCGGTGTCTCCCACTGCCCCTTTCCTGCCCGGGAGGCCAGGTAAGCCCGGGGCGCCCCTGTCTCCTTTGGGTCCTGCAAAGAAAACGGTTTGGTAAGTTTCTGTAACGCCCTTACTAGGGGTATCTCTGGGAATGCAGAGACACTGTGTTTAAAGATTCACAAAATATTTTTTAATAGAGGCTGGTAAAAGGAATAGAGGACTACAAGGAACTGAGCCGAGACCTGCTTCTGCCTTAGTTCAGTTTGATTTTAGCAAAGTCACTTCACTGTTGTATATGTCCGTTTCTTATTTTAAAAATGACAGTTAACACCTGGCGCAGCTCAGTCTTTAAAGATCAAGTGAGATGGAAAGGTGTAGTGTAAGCTCTAAAGTGTTCTGTAACTATATGCTACAATTATTATTACTATCTGATGAACTTTAGTTATAATGTCATTATTTAATCACTGACAATTCAAGAGAGCATTCATAGCCAAACTTCCGGACCCTGATGTGAGCATCTGAAGAGTCACCCAGCTACACCCAGACAAAGGAGCAACAAAGCTGGGATCCTTATTCTGTCCACTGGTTGCTTCTATCCCCAGAACACTAACACTAGTCTGGAAGGGACTCATGTGGCCGGAGGTTTGGATTTACCAGAAAAGTTACCATTTAATTACTAATATTTTTCATCTCGGAGAACCTTCAGGGAAATTGTGCTCTGACATTCATGAATGGGAAATGTATGAACTGAGAATAATCACTCCCTCCTCTTTCCTTTCTCTGGGTTATTCTAGAAATAGTAAATGGCACATATTTAGGAAACAGGAAGGAGAAGAAGGGAAAGTGACGATGAGGCTGCTAGCACAGGAAAGGGCTTGGGAAGTTATTGTGCAGGAAGAATGAGTGCTGGGGCTCCTGGGTGGCCCAGTCAGTTAAGTGTCTACCTTTATCTCAGGTCATGATCCCAGGGTCCTGGGAGTTGAACTACCTGCTCAATGGGGAGCCTGCTTCTCCCTCTCCTCCATTATCCTTATCTCTGTCACTATCAAATAAATAAAATCTCTTTATTTATTAAAAAATTTATTTAAAAAATTAAAAAAAAGGAAGACAAAATGAAATGGATGAATATTGAATATCTAGCCTTTGCCTATTATGTTCCTTAGTTTGTTTGTGTGTGTGTGGTTTTTTTTTTTTTTTTTTGCCCGTAGTATCTGCTTTTTTAAAGACTGGGATAGATGATTTCAGTTCACTTCAAGCCCAGGACAGGATCTGGCAATTTTCTGAGGCACTGAGATGTGGTCTTAGGTTGTACAGTCCCTGCCCAGAAAGATGCTTCCTTATTTGCAATATGATTTCTTTTTAACATTTGGAAGAATTAAAACTAAAAGGATTCATACCTTCCAAGTCTCAAGAACTCTTCTCCATATTTAGTTATCTTTGGGGGACTGAGGTGCATAATCATTTACTTACCTAATTAGGCTAGTTTTCTTTTTTTAAGGTTTTTTTATTTAAGGTATGATCCTTTTACATCAAATTTTATTTCCAAATAGATGCAAAAGCATTCTTCTTCCAAATGGTTAAACTGTGAGCTTAGTCTAGGAAAATAAGACAGAAACTCTCTTTTTGACCATAATTCTAAAACTGATCTGTGACCTGGAGGAAGCCTTTAAGCTCTTGGGGGCAAGTGGGGTCTCAGGGGTGTGAGGACATTGAGCTTAACCAAAGAGACTATGCCATAATCAAGAAACACATGAAAAAGGACAGCTCTTGTAGACTTTGCACGGTTGAGCTGATAGTCACAAGGCAGCTTCTGCCCCTCAGAGCTTCTCAGGAGCACCTAGCTACTCCCTGCTGGTGCCTGTAAGCATGAGTACCCTGAGGTCTTCATTAGGTAGAGCCCTTACCACTAATAAAATACTCCTTTCTGCAGGACCCACATCTGGGAAGCATAATAGAAGGTGGAAACAAGTTAATATCTCCTCGGGCAGGTTTCTCTACAACATGGAAAAAGTTTGAAGAAGCTGCTTATCTTATCAAACACTGGCATGAGAAATCCAGACTCTCAGTCTGTCAAACTAAAGACCTGTATATACTTAGAATGACATGTTTGGTAAACTGCCATGTTTGGTGTTGAGGGAGTTACCGATAGCCCTTAATAAAAGGCAGCGCGAACCACGAGCTGCCTCTGGGGGTGGGAATCAGAGTGATGAAGATGAACAAGGTGGGGAAAAATTTGTGATATGACCACATGCTATTACTACCCTCCCTACTCAGAATAGCAGGGAGTGATGCTCCTGGAGAAGGCCGAAATTCCTCCTCCACCTTCCAGGAGGTGGTACATTTAAACCATGCTAACAACCACACCAAAGTAACATGCAGCAAGTCTTTTGATTTCTAAAGACTTTCAACAGAAGGAAATTCCAGAACTGGATCCCAGCCCTCACTTTGTTATGATGGTAATAATTTTTAAGCATTTTTACTTGAACAACCAAGAATATAAACATCCTATATCACCACTGGGACTTCCTTCCTTCGCTATGTGAAGTTTATTTGATATATCAGGCATTTCGATTAGTTTCTGTGCTTGAAGCTATCACCAGGGTCAGGGAGGAAGCCCTTCTCACCTGGAACACCGGGACTCCCTCTTGGGCCTGGAGGTGCCCCCAGCAAACCTGAAAGAGATAATTTTGGTGCGTTAATATTTTATATGCGGTTAATTTCATTTATGCCTGGTCAGTTTCACTTTGGTAACAGAAGGCCGTTTAATTACCATACATCCAGAACACATGAAACACATTATCAGTTCTGTGGGTGAAGTAAGTCTGGAACCGTGAAGGACTACACTGCCACTAACCATTCAACGCAAAATAAATCCGGGGGATCCGAGCCAATGAGCAAACTGTACCTGTTTCTCCCTTTTCTCCGGCTGGACCAGGAATTCCATCACGTCCCTGGCTGCCTCTCATACCCATTGGTCCAGGAGGTCCTGGGTATCCTGGAGGTCCTGAGAAAAGAAATGTCATGTGTAGAATTCTGTTAAAGGGGTTCCTTCCCCAGAATGTAGTTATATGATGATCAAGTCACAGTGACACTTAGAACAGAATAACACTATCACAAGGATTATCACGTGAAAATGTGTGGGTTGGCAGATCTCTGAGTTAGTTAGGTATAAATACCTAAGCTCACAGTTTCTGCATTTCTGTCCCAGGCCTGGGTCACTGGGAGCAACCTTCTGAGGGGCAGCAGATAGGTGGGTATACAGAGATTCTAGCCTCAGGAGAAAATGTGCCTCCCTCGTGAAGGGGAAATAGACAAAAGTACAAAAATGGAACCTGGAGGGCCTTTGACTCCTGGAGAACCAGGGAAGCCTTTGATGCCTTTTAACCCCAAATCACCATCAGGGCCTGGCTCTCCTGTAAATGAAGAGAGAAGAGAAGGAAATAGAACAGCACGAGATGAACAGTTACAGGGATGGCTGAGGTGGGCAGTTCTTACAGTCACCTGTGCTCACACTGGCCCTCAGGCCTTTGTCCTGCCTCCTGTTTGTCCACAGAAGCCCAGCAGAGATATGTCGAATCCCTTTCAAAGGTCTGTCTGCACCCCCCACAAGGACCACTTGGTATCTGATGTATTCCTTTAACCGGGACTTAACAACAAATCCACTGAACCTTTCAGTATTTGAAAAGATCACTTAAATAGTATCTTTAAGGAAGCTGCAACCCGGTAGCTTGGTGGTTGTTTTGAGTAAAACAAAACAAAAACTGAAACTCAAATGATAAGCCACTAAGAAAGCCAATGCTCAACCTGGAAACAGTCCAGAAAAAAAAAAAAAAAAATCTCTGCAGTGTTACAGATTGAATTGTGTTGACCCCCAATTCACATGTTGAGTTCTAACCCCAGGACCTCAGAATATCACTGTATTTGGAGATAGGGTCTTTAAAAAAGCAGTTAAGTTAAAATGAGGTCATTGGGGTGGGCCCTGATCCATGCGACTGGCGTCCTCACAAGAAGAAGGGATGAGGACAAACACACAAAGATGACCACGTGAAGACTGAGCAGGGAGATGCCTAAAAAAGCCCAGGTGAGAGGCCTTGGAGGAGATCAAAGGTGCTGACACCTTGATGCCTCCAGAGCTGTGAAAACATAAATTTCTGCTATTTAAGCCACCCAGTCTGTGTTGTTATGGAAGCCCTAGAAAACTAATACAAATATCACAAGATTGGACAATGAACTAATTTTTTATGTCTTTAGGCTGAGTTCTTGGAGATAGAACTTAAGTTTGGTTCATAGGATCAGGTTTGTTGTTGTTGTTGTTGTTGTTGTTGTAGTTGTTGTTGTTGTGTGTGTGTGTGTGTGTGTGTGTTTGAAGTAGGTTCCACACCCAACATGAGGCTTGAACTCAACCCCCTGGGATCAAGAGTTAGATGTTCTACTAACTGAACCAGCCAGGCGCCCTCTACAGTATCAGGATTTTAGATGTCAGCCCCCATACTGGCTGATTTGTAAAATCTGGGCTCCCCCTGATTAATTTACAGTTCCTTTGTGTCTAAGAATTTGAGAATTAAAGTTGAAAAAAAGCAACTGTAGTACAAAAACCTAAATAGCTTCCTGTTTATGGAGCTGATTCCAGGAGGTCAGGGCTATGCTCAGTGTCATGCTTTTGGCTTTCAGAGTTACAAAGCCCACACTCACCTGGGTGGCCAGGACTCCCGGGATTTCCACGGGCTCCCTCAGTTCCAGCAGGCCCCAGATGTCCAGGGGTGCCAGGTAGCCCTCTTTCTCCTTTCCTTCCCATGTCACCTGGCAATCCTGGATCTCCCTTAAAGTCAGTCAAACACCTTTAAAATCCTCATATAAGCAGGATATGTGATCAGAACCAAGTATGAACGATGTTTGTTGCATTTATCACTCAGTTACTTAGTTAGTAATGCATATGCCACGTCTACTATGTGCCAGCACCGTGATCGGTGCCAGGAACAGGATGGCAATGGTATTTATGGGAACAGTGCAAAATACAAGGGCAGCACAGGTAAATTGCAGGGACAGTGATGAGCTATTCCTAGGGGACAGAAACCGGAGGGATAAGCTCATAAGCTGAGAGCTGTAGGCATTCTTAGTGGTGGACAGAGGATAAAAAACCCAAGTTGCCTGAAAATGCAGTGGTATCATCAATGTCCTTTGCCTACACTGAAAGCAGCTACTTTGCTGATACTCAGATACTCACTCTACCACCAAAATGTAACTACTTCAGTGGCCAGTGTACCTTTGGTCCCGGTGGTCCTGGCCTTGTACCTGCCAAATAACCTGGCTCTCCCTTATCTCCTCGGAGACCGTGAACACCCGGGAGACCCGGTCTTCCGGTTAAACCTGGTAGTCCCAAAGCTCCCCTGTGTCCTTTAGGACCTGAAATTAGGAAAAAAGTCCAGTAAGATAGGGCAACACAGGGATCTTGAAGTGTTCGACTTCTAACTTTGGCACAAACCACCCTTCTCCCAAGAAGCTGGTTTTTCAGAATCACAAGTGCATTGGGGAGTTATAATGGATGATTTTCACATGATATGAATGTTCCGTTCTTGTGCATGTACTAAGGGCACATAGTACATTTGTCTAAACGTACAAATAGTTTTACATCAATTTTCTACCAGATGGAAAACCAAAACAACAAATCATACAGAAAATTTAGAACTGGGAAGCAGCATGAACTTTAAGCTCATAATAGGATCTTATACCTTACCTGGCACCCCCATGTTGCCCATGCTTCCTGGCCCACCATGCGGTCCTGGTTGTCCAGGATTCCCAATGCTGCCTGAATCCCCTCTGGGACCTTGAGAACAAATAAATGGTCACATGCCCTGCACAGTTCTGGACATAGTAGGTGCTCAACAAATATTTGTTATTTGCATGCATAAATGAATTCTGAGCAGCCAGACCAGCTAGTTTAAGTGCTTGTATAGCTGCCTCTTTGCCTCTAGATGAGCAAGGGACAGAGGACCCAGACAAGGTAAAATTAGAGAAAGTTAAATTCTTGGATTTCAAACATCACAGTCATGCTAGGACCAAGGCCAACAGACAAGAGGAGGCTCCTGCCACCACAGAGCAAAACATTTCCGAATGCAATACTGAAATTTGATTGCCCATGTAGTGTATTTTGTCACTGATGTGGTCATAGAGAAGAGGAGGCTATGTTAATTCAGTTAGAAAATTTTCTTTGCAAAATCAGTAGCTTGTTTCAAAAAGAAAGTGGCAGATCTGAAAACCTCTAAATTGCTATCTGATTTTCTTCTCTGATACAGGATATTGTGATAAACTATAGAATGTGTATTTCATAATACATATCAGCATGTATAATACATGTCAAAATAACATTTGTAGTACAAAAATGGAACTTTGTGCAAGTTAGTATTTTTCAAGTTGGTACAGGAGGACTATAAACAGCTTCATTTGGGTTTAATTTTGAAGCAAATGTCTGTTGGAACACTATGCGAGCAAAATTCATATTCAACCCAATACGTCAAGAGATACATTTTGGCTACATTTAGATCTGGGAACACTCAGAGACTGAGATTTCTACCAGAGAGTCAGCTATACCTGGTGGACCTGGTGGTCCAGGTGGTCCTTCCGGTCCTTTTAAACCTGGTAACCCTGGAATGCCTCTGTTTCCTTTTTCACCAGGCTTTCCGGCAAATCCTGAAGTTAAAAACCATGTATGAGGAACACAAGTTAGAATTTTATCAGACTTCTCTACATCCTGATTAAACTTGATGAGATGTTAGTGTAATATGGTATAACATATTTGTTTAGAACACGGGCAGATGTGAGCTCTTTTCCAAAAGAGGATTAAATGAGATAATACGTATAAAACATTAGCACAATGCCTGGCCCGACTTAGCTCTTAAATAACACTAGCAATGATAATATGTACACTTTAAACAAACATATTTAAGAATTAGTGGCCTAAATATAGCTTCTTTAAAATTTTTTTTTCTTTTTTAGTAATGACAGAGGACCATTTACTACACTATTCTTGTCCAGACTATCCCCTTCTCAGATCCACTTATTACAATTATCATTTACTAAGCAATTAGTACATGGCAAACATTATTTTCTTTTATTTCTATTATTTAATCTGCCGCCAATGTCAGTCTTTCTTTGAGCCTTTCCGGGCTGGGTATAAAGATGACAAAGCTGAGACTTTATGAATTCAGCAGGCTAATCTAGAGTCACCACCCATTGGTGGTGATGCTGGGATGTGAATCCAGCTCTGCAGGCTGGAAAGCTTGTGAATTTCCTACTTTCCATAAAACATGGTCTGGATCACATTATTCTCCGGCTTAAAAATGTTCCTTGAATCTGTAATATGTACAGGGCAAATTACACACTCCTTCCACTGGCGTTCGAAGAATTTACCAATCTGTATAGAGCCTGGCTTGGGGCCTTTTCTCAAGCAGATTTCCTTCCTTGCACTGTTATCCTGCTTACATCCTTATTCATTCACATAAGGACTGAGTATCGAATTAATAGGTCTTATGCTGAGTACTGGAAATGTAAATCCTGTTCCCTTTCCTCAAGTTTTTAGTGTTTAATTGGGGAGTCAGCCAAGTAAGTAAACAATTACCACCCAGTGTGATATGTTCTGTAATAGAGTTGGGCACAATATGCTACAGGGATGGATTTCTGCAAGAGGGGATAGTGTGTGTGTGTGTGTGTGTGTGTGTGTGTGTGTGTGTGTGTGTGTGTTAAAGACTGAACAGAAGATATTTGGATGGAAAAAACATGAAACAGGACAAGATGCCCAGGCAAGAAACTAGCATATACTAAGGAATGGTGAGGGGCAGGTGATTGGCTATTTTCCTTTGTAATATTTGTTTTTTTCTATTTATGTCACTTATCACAATCTTAAAAAACAACAACAACATATTATTCAGCACATTCATTTGCTTTGGGTTTGTGGGGCTTGGCAGGTTATAGCTTGAAGGCCAAATCTGGTTTCGTATTGTATGGTTGGAGGGCTAAAAATGGTTTTTCTGTTTTTAAAAGATTGGGAACAAACATACAAACACAGATAAAAAAGAATATGCAATAACGGGGACCATAGAACCCCGGATATTTACTATCTGGCCCTATACATAAGATGTCTACAGACCCATTAATGTCTCTTTCCTCCTTCCCCCCACCAAACTGTACATTTCCTCATGACCAGGTTACTGGTACTATCTCTACTGTGCTCACTTCCATGTCTTCAGCACATAATAACATACTGAGTCTATAGGCACTAAAAAGTATACTTGTTGAATAAATATGTCATGCCAGTGGCAAGACAGGCAAAAGGCAAGTGATAAAGAAACTTTGTAAACCAATCTGAGTTTATTTTTGCCATACATGGCAAAAAGGAGGGTTTGAGACTTATAATTAAAATGGACTAGTAGCAATTTAAATACAGCAGACCCAAATCTCAGAATTAACATGAAAGTGAAAAGTCAGGCATTGTGGAGGCAACATATTATTGTGCAAGGCCCAGAAGACCGAGTTTTCATCCAGGCTTGGGCCACCAGTTGGCTTTGTGACTGTGGGCAGGATATGGAACACCAGCTCTTAGTCCTCATTTGTCAACTACAGGGATTTTCTTGGACAATTCTTAGCCTCAGAATCAGCCCCAAGTTCTTCCCAAAGAAGAAGACTGTACCTTTGAGGCCTGGTTCTCCTCTGTCCCCCAGCAAAGTGGATATCTGAGAAGGCCCCCGAGGTCCTTTATCTCCTTCTTCCCCCTTGGTTCCTGGGGGCCCTTTCTCACCCTTTGCTCCTGGAATTCCAAAGCTACCTAAAAAACAGAAGTAGCAACATCAGTTCCTTAATTCTTGAAATAGTTCTTAAGGATTCAAAAGTTGACAGTGCTTACCATATAACAAAACAAAAGAGGACAGATAAACCAAAATAAGCAGCCCCATTAAGGCAGTGGCATAAAAGGGCAGGGAGAAAATTCAACTCCATTCAAATAAAAAGAATGCAGAAAATAGCAAAATCAAAGATATAGTTCTCTCAGGGAAACTACTTCTCTCTCAAAGGATAAAACAGAACTTATTTTGGTGTTAAATAAGCGAACATTGTTCATGCTTCCTGATCCTGGAAAGATACTCCCTCACTTACCCCTCCGTCCTGGGGCGCCTGGGTTCCCAGGGGGCCCAGGAGGGCCAGCATCTCCTGGATAGCCCATCATCCCCATCATTCCTTTTTCACCTGTAGAAACAAGTTCACACAAAGCAGGTCAGATTGTGCACAATGAGAGAAGCAAAATATTCCATAAAATAAAATAACTTATACTTCTAAAGAGGGTTGAAGGAATGGTTTCTGTAAATAGAAAAATAACTGTATTTGTCTGGGAGACAGGTTAGTACCCAGTCTTTATTACATCATGTATGTGGAAGTCATTGGTAGCAAATCACATTTGCAGATAAAAGGAGAACATGTTGAAGTTCTGGATTGCTCCCTCCCAATCCTTGAGCATCGGCTCTCTGTTATATAGTCCCTTATTTTGTTTTCCTCAGAGCAGTTGTCAGTCACTGAACTTAGTTGTTTTTTTTTTTAAAGGATTTTATTTATTTGACAGAGAGAGAGATCACAAGCAGGCAGAGAGGCAGGCGGTGGGGGGTGGGGAGCAGGCTCCCTGCTGAGCAGAGAGCCAGATGTGGGGCTCAATCCCAGGACCCTGAGATCATGATCTGAGCTGAAGGCAGAGACTTAACCCACTGAGCCACCCAGGCGCCCCTGAACTTAGTTTTTAAATGCATTTGCTATGGTCTCCCCCACTGTCAGAGGCAGAGTCTTGTCCACCAAGAGCTTGGAACAGTGCTGACACATGGTAGGGGCTTAATAATATAAACGAAAGAATGATTTGCAGATTAAGTTGTTCTTCTGGGTTCTTTCTGAGAGAAGAGAGATAGGTGAGGTTCTTATGCCATGAGGAGACTATTGGCATATTCTTCCCAAATATATAAAATATAAAACTAGTGATGAAATAAAAAGAATGATAAGGGAATACTATGAATAACTATATGCCAGCAAATTGGACGATTTGGACAAAATGCACAGATTCCTAAAGAGGCACAGATTACCAAAACTGACAGAAGAGGAAATAGAAAATCTGAGTAGACCTATAACAAGAAATTGAATTAGTAATGCAAAGACTTCCTACAAAGAAAAGCCCAGACTCAGATGACTTCACTGGGGAATTCAACCCAATGTCTAAGGAACATCAATTTTTCACTAACTCTTCTAGAAAATACAAAAGAAGGAAATACTTTCCATCTTGTTCTATAAGGTCAGCATTACCCTGATACCAAATTCAGACAGAGATATCATGAGCAAAGAAAAAGACAAACTAGTATCCCTTACAAATGTGGAGGTAAAAATTCTGAAGAAAATACTAGCAAATGTCCTTTAGTGTATAACATATAGAAAGGATTGCGTGGCCAATGTTGTCATACCCTGAGTAATTGTGAAATGTGATCATCCCACCACCACCACTGCCGGGTTCTCTGACCTCTTTGCAAATAATTCAGTAGGAAACACTTACACTAACTGAAAGAGGAGTGTAGAGTCAAAAGCCTAGGTCTATGTCCAATTTATACAGCTACCTTAAAAGAAAATATGGAAGAAGATGGAAGAAGAAACATAAAAGCACAAAAAAGGATACCTGGTGGTCCTAAAAATCCTGGATTTCCTGGATATCCTTTTTGACCACGTGGTCCCATTGCACCTCGATGACCTGGCATTCCTGGTGGTCCAGGTTCTCCAGGAAAGCCTGACCTATCCAAGCCTGGAATACCTGGGTCTCCCTTTGGCCCTGTTTCACCTCTTCTGCCTGTATATGAATGAATGAATGAATGAATGAATGAATGAACACACAACTGCTTTCCCCACCAACTCCAGAAATACATTTTTTAAAAAAGATTTTATTTATTTGACAGAGAAAGAAATCACAAGTGGGCAGAGAGGCAGGCAGACAGAGAAGGGGAAGCAGACTCCCTGCTGAGCAGAGAGCCAAAGGTAGGGCTCCATCCCAGGACTCTGAGATCATGACCTGAGCCGAAGGCAGAGGCTTAACCCACTGAGCCACCCAGGCATTCCCAGAAATACATTTTTTATGGCTATAAATATGTAGCTGTGTGATCATGGACAAACCACACCTTTATCTGATTGATGGACGTCCCCTTCTGTACAATTTCTAAGATCCCTTCTAGCTTTAACATAGTTTCAGTTATTTGTGCAGTAATAAAAATGTAGAATTTAGATCTATTTTCTAGTCCTTCAGACACATCCTGGGACTGCCCTTTATGACTGTAGCTGGGTCTTTAACGTGCAGAATGCATACACAACCATAGGGGGAGGAGAGCCACTGGATGCTTCTGGAAGTAATAATAGCACTATGACAACTATTAATGTCTTGGCCAAAAATTGGTTTGTGAACATAAAAGCAATGTGACAGCCCATAGGCATTAGCTGAGTTCTAAAGGATTTTTCTCAGTTCACAGATCTGAATGAGAAGAACAAATAAAATAGAGTAAATGTCATATAATCTGGGCCACGTAACCTGGAGCATTTAGATTTATTTCATACCTTTATTTTATGTTCCTTGGGAGGCAATTAACTACATATCTATTTATCACTTGATATACCTATGGAGTTAAAGATAAAACATTTTCTGAGAGTTTATATGTATATAAATATATGTGTAAATATAAGTTTCTATGTATCTTCAGTGTTCATACTGTCTTGCATATAAGACACAAACCAATTTTACTGTATTAATTTCAGGTCTCTTACTCTGTAGGTGGTACTCACTGAAACAAATCCGTGACAGAGTTTAGATGGCTAAAATAACATTGCCACTGAACAGTGGTCAGAACTTGTTGCTGGACAGTTCCCATGTTAAGCAGCAAAGCACAGAGCAGGAATCTTCTGTCACCTGTCTGCCTAATGACTGGTTTTAAGGCCCTCTTCTTACCCGGTTGCCCTTCCAATCCATTTAATCCTGGAAGTCCTTGGGCTCCCCTGGGACCTTCTGTGCACATTCCTGGGGATCCTTTTTCTCCAGGTGGTCCGGGCTTCCCTGGATCCCCTGCAAAATAGAGTCCAGGAATATATTCGACAAAACCCGAGGTCCTAGTACTGCTATCACAATCCTTCTGTAACTTTCCCCCCTAAATTAAACCTATGTTTAATACCACTGGTATATCTTTTATAAAGGACAATTGTTATAAGGGACAGAAGGAAGGAAGGAGAAAGGAAAGAAAAAAAAAACAAAGGGAGAGCAGCAATATTGAATGGAAAAATAGACGCTGCAGATTCTATTTGTTAAACTGGAAGTCTGAGAATAAGTCTTCATCCTAGAGCACCTTCAACTTGCTGCATTTTAGCAGAGCTTACCATGGAGAAAAGTAATCACACTTGCTATTGTACCTTGGGGTCCACCAACCCCTCCAGTTCCTGGAATTCCAGGGAGACCTGGAGGTCCAGGGAATCCAATTTCTCCATTTTCCCCAGAAATGCCTCTTTCTCCTGGAAAACCTGGTGTTCCTGGTTGTCCAGGCATGGCTAGTCCTGGTTCTCCCTGTGCACAGAACACATGTTAGTTTCACTATGTAATACTTCCAACTCTTTCTGCACTGTTGACTGGTCTTTAGGCCAATGACTTGAGAATAATCCCTTTTGCACAGTTACCACCATTCCACAATTCTTTCCTTTCTCAATTCTAGCTGCTGGTTTTATAAAATTATGCTTGACCATTCTTGAGGCTCTGTAACTGCCACTTTTACAGAAGACTGAAATTGTAAACAGTCCAGATGTCTTTACTTTTGACAGTTTTGATCATAGTGATCCACACTTTTTTAGAGTCCTTCCATTTTAAATACTCTGAACGTTCCTGAAGATTAGGGAAGAAACAGGGAGGCAAAACTGTCTTCTAACACTACTTTTCCTTTCTAAAAGCTTCAAAGAAGTGTTAAAAACTATTTAATATCTTCATCATCTACCAATATATAGATAATTTCTACACCCAGAGCATCCTAACTGGCTGATTGTGATTGCCCCCATTCATCCCCACACATCCATCTGAGTTTTAAATCTTGAAGACCTTGGCTCCTGGGAGACCTGGTTCTCCGGGTGGCCCGGGCTTCCCCATTTCTCCTGGACAACCCGGTGCTCCTTTTACTCCAGGAAAACCTTGCTCTCCTACAGAGAAAACAATAAATGTTGCAGGAGTAGGCTTAGTAAAAGATTTAAAGCAGTATCCCTGTTATTTTATCCAATGTTTTTATGAGGCAAGTTGCTAGAGATGTTTTTATGGAAGTCTGAATGATGAAAAAGCCAACTGCTACATTGGCAATTAAAAAAAAATCCATTCCAAATCAGATCCTCAATCGAAAAATGACTTTCTCCATTTTATTGTTTAGGATGACTACATTTTTTTTGCAACAATTTCACTGATTCTGGTTGACTATTTGGGTGACTTTTTCTTTTGGAGTATAATTTACATAAAATGTACAGCCAAATGAATTTTTGAATGTCTATAAATCTATTCAAGCATGATCCAGACAAAGATATAGAGCATATCTGCTGCCCGAGGTAGCCTTTCTCAACATGGGTTGCTCAAGAGAATTACTTCCTACTGCCATTGAATATAATGAATTAATTTCTTTCTTATATACTTGTAGTAGGAGAATTGAGAAAGGAGTCACAAATATCATTTGTTCTATTCCCTAGTTCACAAGAGGAAACCCTAGAGAAGCAACGCTGCATTTAGAGATTCCTTTTGTGCTTCTAGTTTGACCAATTTTTTTTTTTTTTTTTTTTTAGTTTGACCAATTTTTAATTCACCAGTAGTTTCTGGGATTATTAGGTTCAGCTGGGAAACTTTAAGTCTGAACTTTCAGGGATTTCTCAGACTACTTCTGGTCCCCATAATTTATAGTCTCCTTACAGAGGGTGAATCCATAGTGTTACAAACAAGGATGCAAACTTTAATGCAGGGTCCAAGAAGGAGGAGGCAAAAATATGGGCCAGGCTGCATTACTTCACATATCATTGGGAAGACATCCAAGAAACTGGAGACAAAGACATTCTTGAAACTTACATTTTCCATTTCAAATATTCATAAACTGAGATCAATATATCTATATTTGTAAGCACTAATGACATTAATCTAGGAGATCAAGTATAAAAAATGGATTCTATTTTCACAGACACTCTAAATAATATTGAAACAAACATAAAAGGATTATAAAATCTGAAAATCTATGCAACAACCCAGGGATGAAATGGCTAGTATGTCATTCTGGACAAGACTCTGATGTATTTGTTAATTTATGGTTTGAGTTCTCAGCATCTGGATATCTTTGGAGTGATTTCCCTTCGATGAGAAACAGCATTCGTTCCCAAAAGAAAATAACTTCTGTAATTCGTAGGGGAGTGTTTAGGAAAGCCAGTTAATTGTAAATTAATAGTTCTTTTCTAATTATAAAAGAAATGTATAAAGTTAAAAAATGCATAAATGTAAAAAGTGCACACATTTATTAAGAAGTCAAGAAAAAATTCCTCATAATTCCACACTCAAAAAGAATCACTACTACTGTTTTGTGTGAATTTCCTTCCAACTTTTTCTACATATTTTAAAAAGTTTAATTGAGATGAGATGCATAAATCTGTGTGAATTCTGCCTTTTTATCTAACATCATTGTAATTCTTTTTTTCCTTGTAAGATGGGTGGAAAACATTATTTTAAATATCATATTATGGATCTTTTCAATGTTATTCATGACACGTATCTATATTTTCTAAATATCCACAATAGACCCTATGTTTTAAAATTTGTACATTTACCCTTAGGTCCAGGGGGCCCAGGGAAGCCGATTCCTGGAATTCCTGGTTCACCATCAGGCCCAGGAAGACCTGGATCACATTTTCCTCTGGATCCAGGGATACCTTGAAACACACACACATCCACGTAAGAAACTTCCCCTCATCTTGCCCTTAAACAAAAAGTCTAATTTTCTGTGTCATTCAAGGCCTTTTGGGAAATTAAGAAATAAGTTTAATATAACCCCAACCGTATACTCTTCTTTCCTCTCAATTCTTATCCAAGGACTAATCATTAGCAGCTACAAATAGTGTTTAAGATAGAATTTAATTCCTATAAAGAAATAGTCTAGATATCTTGAGCTACAGAAGTCTCCCTCCATACATGCAAAGTTAAGTTTTAGATCATATTGACAAAGAAGTTACATTTTCAAATGAAGAAGCTGTGGGAACTAGCTTGATTAACCACTGGCAAACATCACTTACTCCCCCAACCAAAAATCCATGGAGATTGTTCTTCTCTTGAATTCCTTTTAAGTAATTTTACTGTTTTCCCTCCTCCTCCCTCCTCCTCCTTTATCTATCTATCTATCTATCTATCTATCTATCTATCTATCTATCTTATTTCTTTATTTGGAATCAGAGGCACCAATGGGAGTAATTTGGATGATCTCAAAGTACAATGACAAGTACCCTACCTGTGGGCTTTTTATCTCACACAACTCTGGCCTCTGCTCTCTTTTGGTGCCAACAAATAGAGTTTTTCTTACATAGGGGACAATGTTTTCCAAGGACAATCAGGATGCCATTTGATGCAAGGCACCAGACTTGGCAGAGGGGATACTCACCGGGTGGACCTTGGGGGCCAGCACGGCCAGGGGGCCCTGGAGGTCCTGGTGGCCCTGGGACTGGTGTCGAAATACTGAATTCTCCCTTAGGACCTTAAGAAAGTTCGTGATCGTAAGATTGGTGTGCGTAGTGAAGTTTTTTTTTTGGTTCAGAAGAAACAAATGTGATATAGGGGGTTTATAAACATAGCCCAAGGAATAAAAAAAATAGACTTGCTTCCATAGGTTTCAAAACTGGCCCAAAGATGACCAACCCATTGAAACTTTTTTATTCAGTTGAAGAATATTTATAAGCACTTACTATTGCCTAAGCTTTGTTTTCATTAATAGCCCACCTCAATAGTCTAGTCTACTGAAAGAGAAGCTATTCCAAAAAACATTGATAATATGGGATTTATCTTAAACATTGGTGAATATTTATTTGGTAGGATATTTATTTTTTGGGCCAGTAGTTTGCAAGGGAAGGAAATATAGTATGCTGAAGAAAACATTAAGTGTGGCTTGGGCACACACCTTAACCTCTGATAAGTTCTTCATGTGTCATTGGGGAGATACAGCCTAACCACCCCATAAAGATTTGAGATAATGTGGGTATGGTGGTCAACATGGAAAAAATGTTAGTGATTTGATTTATGCATATATTTACAGAAAAAAAATAACTTTACAGTAGTGTGATGGGGAAAATTTGATATATTTTGCAACAATGGAGTTCTTTACTAGAAATTTGAATATAGAAAGAAGAAGATTTGAAGCTAGATTAGAAGAACTTTTTCTTTAAAGGGCCAGATAGTAAATAATCTGGGCTTTGTGGTCCAGATGGTCCCTATGCCACTACTCAACGCTGTCATCGTAGCATGGGAAGAGCCAAAAACAATATGTAAATGAATGAGTGTGACCGTATGCCAGCAAAACATATTTATGGACACCGAAACTTAAATTTCATATAATTTTCATGTGGCATAAAGGATTATTCAAAAGGTTTCTTTTCCCCCCAATCATTTAAAAATAGAAAAACTATTTTTAGCTCGTAAATTATACATAAATATGCGGTAGACTGGATTTAGGCTATGAGCCGCCATGGTTTGCCAATCCTTGGATTAGAACAGCAGCCTCAAAAGTAAGAAACAGGAAAAAAATATATATATATGATCATAAAAGAAGCTTTATGTACATGTGTGGGCAGAAATGCATGCATATAATTTAAAATATATATAAATGCTTGGGAAGCACTTACAAATTTTTTACTATAGAAAGATTTGGAGGCTATTAGTTTAGTGGGTCTAACCCTTTAGAAAGTGATGTTAGAAGTAAAAAATAATAGGGTAGCATTATTTGTTGAAAACTGTCCTCCACATGATGATTCTCATCTTTGGCCATGCTCTCTGCTACAGGTAAACATTGAGGATTGGATCCCTCCTGAATCCACCAACCATGATCAGAACATGTGGATCTCAAAAGTTCCTGGGACTTCAGAACTATTATCAGAAAACTTTTCTTCATTTATCTTCGATATTTTGAAGTTTTATTTATAAACCACCCATTGGATTATGGGTCAAAAAGGGCAAATTTGCAATAACATTAGTGGATCCTTGAGACTTACAAGAGCCTTCTTAAGATCAATTGCATAGATTTTGGCCTCCCCTTTGTCTACCATAACTGACTTCCACTCATTCCATATATTTTTCTTTTCTTTTCTTTTCTTTTCTTTTCTTTTCTTTTCTTTTTTGTTAGATTTGAGCCTCAACATGGGGCTCAAACTCATGACCCTGAGATCAAGAGTTTCAAGCTCCATGGGCTGAGCCATCCAGGACCTCTCCATCCCAAATATTTCTATTAGTAAATAGAGACAGACCATCAGGAAATTTCAGCTGAACTTGGTAAAGGGAAAATGAATTTTTTTTAACATATCCTACATATTCCTTCCCAGTGTCTGTGAGGTGATATATTCTACTGATCAGAAACAAGTTTCTATGCATTCATTAGTCTTGGGGAAGCTTCATTTGCTCTAGGAACTATGAGCCCACTCCATAGGAAAACAGGACTGGAAAGAAAACTAACCAACCGGCTTCTCCAGGTGGTCCAGGGGCTCCAGGAACTCCTTGGGTGCCCTTTGGACCAGGTTCTCCCCGTGGTCCATAGTTTGCTGGTCCAGGTGGTCCTGCAGGTCCTGGAGACCCAGGGATGCCAGGATCCCCCAGAGGACCCTGGTCACCCTTCTCACCACTCAGGGCCTGTGACAATGGGAATATGTTTATAGTGCTTCAGTCCAGTATCTCCTTATGTGGGTTAACCTTACCATGAATAGGAGGACCTGATAAGCAGCCAATGAGAAAATCTTGAATTACACAGCAGTTGGCATTTGAAGGGAATTATTACTAAACTCAGAGCATGGTCTGGTTTCTGCTGTTTTGTGCCCCTTGGATTTCAGCAACACTTCATGAACTTGGACATCTCTTGGATGAAGGTGTCCTCCAGCAGGATGTTATATGTATAATAGCCCCTAAAACTTTGTTCACATAAGCCATTGGTTCAAATAGCTTGAGAGCTGGAATTCATGGGAATAACATATTTCTGAACTAAAACCAGCACAGTAAACCTTTGTTTGCTCTTCACCAGCTATTTTCATCATAAAGGAGGTGAAGATACAGATAGACTGTATTTGTTTTGTTTTTTTTTTCTTATAAAATATCTTTTTGGTTTTTTTAAAGATTTTATTTATGTATTTGTCAGAGAGACAGAGAGAGCAGAAGCTGGGGGAACTGCAGGCAGAGGGAGAAGCAGACTTCCCACTGAGTGAGGAGCCTGATGTGGAACTCGATCCCAGGATTCTGGGATCATGGCCTGAGCTGAAGGCAGACGCTTAACCAACTGCACCACCCAGGCATCACATAAAATATCTTTTTGTAATTGCATAGGCTATAACTTTGGAAATGACTTGTATACTTCAAACAAGTCAAATGTGACACAATAATCGAGTTCCTCTTCTGCTCCAATATGGCCCCAAATAATAAATTTGACTTGATTTTTCATTGTTCAGTATCACTGGGTGACTAACTGATGTTTTGTTTTGTTTCCTTCTTCTATAATGACAGGACATAAGACTCAACACATCACCTTCTTAATTTTTTTCTTTACTTTTACTGGAACCAACAAGGTAATTAGTGAGATGCAAAGGGAAGCATCACGTGAACTCTTAATACTAGACCAAAGAATTCTAGACTCTGCCCCTCTGTCAGTGTAACTGCACTCCCCACTCCCAAACACACACATTGGGACATCCAGGCCCTTTGTCAGAGGAGAGTCTGAGAAACATTGAACCTGGAGCTGGTCTCAGCTAGAAAATGTTTTGTCGTCAAATAATGTTGGGAAGACTGTATACCACATCTATATCTTGGGGAGCCACACTTCATATTCTGATACTAAAGGATCTGTAAATGAATCTTCAGATTTATTTGCCAAGTTTTCTGTTCAGGGTGGGACTCTCTTAACTCTGTCTTAACTGGATAACTCTGATCAACCCTGGAAGAAAGTGGTATTTCCTGGAGCAGGCTGGGCAGCATGCCTGGTAAACTTCCCACAGATATGCTGGGAGGAAGTGCTCATCCTCTGACCCCAGGACATTTTAAAATCGACCCTGGTAGGAATCTCTCACATGTACATGTGAGAGATTCTATCCCTATTCCATGAAAAGAGACAGAACCTATAGAAGCCTAGGTATTTTAAATGACCAAACATTTGATCTGTTTATTTGACAACTCTACTCCTAAATATTCTAGTCTTTAAGCATTTATTTTGACTTAAAAGAATGATAACTGCCCCCAAAGTATTGACTAGAACTTTCCATTATTAATAATTTTCTGAACTCCTCTATAAACTCACTGGATACAGACGTGGGTATTGTAACTTGTGTAGGAGACAAGGGCATTATCAACGTGGAATTTTATTTGGGCTACAAGCACCACCGAGTCCCACCTATGTGTCAAATACTATGCATGTGTGCTGCTGTTATTACCAGTTGGAAGGACCCACTGTACTGTGTGGCCAACCGTTTTCTGAATGGAAATTGCCCAAAGTCGTCACTTCAGAGCATTTCAATTGCAGGGAAGGGAATTTGAAAAAAGTTACTCAATACCAACCGGTTCACCTTTGGGTCCTGGTGATCCTTTGATCCCGGGAGTTCCAGGAATTCCATCCAAGCCCCTTCTTCCAGGATGCCCTCTGAGCCCAGGGTCCCCTGGGGCACCCACTTCTCCCTCAGGCTGCAATGCTTCACCTTTTTCTCCTTTAAGTCCTGGATCCCCCGGAGCACCCAGGAATCCCTAGGGCAGTACAGAAATAAGGCTGCATTGCATTTAGGTAAAGCTGTTCTTGTGCCAATCTTACAAAAAAAAAAAAAAAATCAACTAGAATTTTTCAATTTTAATGAACATGGATTTTTTTTTTCAGACACTTTCTTTAGCCTACAGGTGTAATGTCAAGCTTTTTGGTTTTCTTTTCTCTCTATTTGTTTCCAACACTGGAAAAGAATACAGTCAGTAAATTTCAATGTAACACACAGTAATATTATTCAATATAATACAAACATCATCATAATTTAGATGATGTTAGAATGTTGGTAATTTTAACATGCATTATGGATAATTTGATTTATCTTTATATAACTTTCTGATTCACTGTAATAATCAGAATTTTAATTTGTGAAAGTTTATTTGGTATCATTTACATATCATAAGACGTATCTGTATACGAATACAATGATTTTTAGTAAATTTGTACACTTATGCCACAATCACCACAATCCAGAGTTAAAACATTTCCATCACTCCCCCAAGCTCCCTCAGATACATCTGCAGTCAGTGCCTGTTCTCAACCTCAGCCCCAGGCAACGACAGATCCGCCGTCTCTCTCCGACACAGCTTAAATGATTATAAATTCATTACTGATTCACTTATTCCTTCACACATCATTCATTCAATCATTTAATCAAGAATCTATCAAATGCTCTGATATTAAGTACTCTTTGCCAAGCACCAAAACTATGTGTGGCTCAACTGTATTTCCTGAGTGTGCTGTTTACCCAAATTAATACTAAAGCTTCCAACCCATGAAATCTTACTGGAGATCCTGGAAGACCCGCACTTCCCGGGGACCCTGGGCTTCCTTTAATGCCAGCTGCCCCTTGGCCTCCTGCAAAGCAGTAAATTATTAAATAGTCATTGAATGCCAGCTCCGAGTAGCCAGGGTAATGCAGTAAATGAAGAGAATAGGGTGTTTTCTTCTGAGGAAAAGAAAGACAATTTGTATCTTAAAACACAGAGTGCAGGGAGAGAATGGGAATACATAAGTGAATTAAGAGATGATGTAAAAAAAAAATTTTAAAAATCTTAACTTCCTAATTCTTGTCTTTATAATTTTAAGGAGAAACATTTATTTGTTTTGATCATAAAAGCAACATACGCACATTATAAAAAACAGATTTAGAAAGAAGAGAGTAAAAAAACATACACCTACCACCAGAGGACAATATTTGCTAAAATTTTCATGTATGTTATTCATAAAATTTTATATCCATAATGCACTGGACATATATATGGTATTTCGGAATCATCCACCAATAAATATCCATGTCAATAAATACATATCTATAGCTTCACTTAAATGGTTGCATGGCAGCATTTTGTGTGGGTCAGCCAACATTTATTCAGCTAACTGCTATTTGTAGAATTTAGATCGTTTTTCAACTTCAGCTGTAGTAAACAATGCTATGATAAATATCTAGGAATTCAGTGCTTCACACTTCTCCAATAAATTAAATTCCTAGAAGTGTAAGGGCAAGACAAAATTGACAAAAATTTTTCCAAGGCTTTGGATATTCATTGCCAAATTGCATTTTACTGTACAATTTTACACTTCCTATATGTATTTAAATATCTCTGTAAAGTTGATCCCTTTAGAGGGTCTTTTGGAAGGCTCTCAAGCCGATGTGTTAACAACTATATATTCAGATTTTATTTTTTTGCAAGATTTGAGTCAGGATATATTTTTTGATAGTCATCCAAACGGGTTTCCTGTTTATGTATCTTCTGTGAGCTCCACCTGTCGTATGCCGAATGTAGAGAAACCAAGGAAAATATGACACTGCTAGGGGGTCATCAACAGTGAGCTGACCACCCTGGGCTAGAGGTCCCTCAAGGGGAATGTAGGGAAATGATGATTGCTTTCCTTCTCTTCTTTCCCTCCCTCCATCTCTACACAGCTCCTTCCCTTCCTTTTAGGTTTTTGGTTTTGGTTGTTGTTGTTTTTTTTTTTTTTTTAAGATTTTATTTATTTATTTGTCAGAGAGAGAGAGAGAGAGCACAAGCAGGAGCAGCAACAGGCAGAGCCGGCAGAGGGAGAAGCAGGATTCCTGTTGAGCAGGGAGCCCGATGCAGGACTCAATCCGAGGATCCTGGGATCACAACCCAAGCCGAAGGCAGACGCTTAACCGAATGAGCCACCCAGGCATCCCCTAGTTTTTGTTTTAATAGAACATTTCACCCAGAGCCTTAGGCCCTGCATAGGAGCCGCGTGAGGAATAATCCCCCCTGCAACAGCCTTTGCCCCTTCTCTCCCTCCCCATCCTTCCTCTCAGGCCCATCTCAGGGAGTTAGGGGGCAGAGATTACAGAGTAGCTAAGGCATTTATGAAGGAGCAGGAAGGATTTGTGGATGACAAAGGACTCTGGCTGAGTGCGTGTCCTCTATTGGTGAACACGGTGCCACATTTAGCATTTCTTCTTTGGACTGACACCCAACCTCCTCGAAGACCCTGTGCCAATGCCAGTATCTACTTGACAGCATTAACATACAAATACCTCTTATCTGTGTTGCCAGGTAGACCTTTGGATTAACCCGCTTCCAAAGGAAACCCCTGGCACAGCAGTGAAAGGTTGCCAGCCTAGAGAGCAATGGTATGGCTCTGGAGGAGCACGTCTAGATTTGAGTACGGGCTTTAACACTTCTGAGCTGCCATCTTGTGTTTCAGCTTCCACATCTGTCAAATGGGGTTAATGACAGCACTGACCTCTAGAGTGGATGGGAGGAATAAGGCACGAAGGGAGGTACATACGTTCCCTAGAACAGTGCCAAGCACACACGCGCTCTGTGACTTGAGCTCTTGTTGGTTAATGACAGATCATTTGGTGACAGTGTCTACAGACCAAGGTGGTCAAAGCAGAATCGAGACTGCAGGTGACATCACATGAGAGGCCCTGAGTAGCCAGGAGAGTGGCACGAGGGGCAGAGGAACCCAACTAATGAGACTTTCTCTACCTCAGAGTTTCGTCTACAGCCAGTTCTGTGACTAAGGAAGGGGGAGGACGGAGGGCAGCTGGGATGTGAATCCTGGAGCCAACAGGTGGGGAGGAGGGTCCGGGTCTGTCATAAAGGTCGATGAGGGAAGTGACACGGGCTCTACTTAGCTCGCAGAATATTGGCCTCCGAGATGGGTTCTTCCCTCAAAAATGGAGTTAGTAGCAAATATTGAAAAAAATAAGATTTCAGATAAAAATCCTCATTTCTTTCTTCTCATGAAAAATTGGATGATTTATCAGGGTGCCTGGGTGGCTCAGTGGGTTAAAGCCTCTGCCTTCGGCTCAGGTCATGATCCCAGGGTCCTGGGATCAAGCCCTGCATCGGGTTTGTCTGCTCAGCAGGGAGCCTGCTTTCCCCCTCCTCTCTCTCTGCCTACTTGTGATCTCTGTCTGTCATATAAAATAAATTAAAATCTTTTAAAAAAAAAAGAAAGAAAAATTGGACGATTTATCAACACAGGGCCTAAAATGCTGCAAAGTAACAATAGGCTGGAGCTGGTGTGGGATGGCCCCCTCAGATGTGCCTCCCAGTTTACCAGAGTCCTCACCCCGCTATCGCCCCCCATTGGTGTGCTGATTTATTGCACTGGTATCCTCCTGAAGAATGAAATAGTGCATCTGCCCTTAGCTCTACCAAAAGTGAGGACCTTAAACAAACAGACTGAGGAGAGTTGTGTCTTTTAAGGAAAAAAAAAAAAAAAAAAAGAGAGAGCAAGCTTATTTTTTTTATGGAAGAAAAAAGTGGTCTGGGGGATGCGGGGGATGGCTGCCTCACCCCTCCTAGTTCCTACCCCTGGAGGACTCCAGTCTATAACTCATGGGGAACCCCATGGTTTGCTAGAATCAGCAAGTAAAATGGAACACAAGGATATGCCAGTTTTTGTGTTCTTTTGGCTTACTTGACAGAGTAAGTTGACAGAGTATGTGTTTGAAAATCTCTAAGTTCATGCTAACCACATCATGACATCCAGACTTCTGGTACATTTTTCACCACTCAGTGAACTGACTCTTTTGTACTTGAAAAAACCCTTGTGTGCAAAATGTCTATACCTGGGATTCCTTTTATGCCGTCCAACCCTGGCAGTCCTGGGAGGCCTGGGGGCCCTGGGATACAAGGACATTGTATACACAAGAGGCCAGGTTCCCCTGCAATGAGAGCACGGGTACGTTACTTGTAAACCCAAACAGAGTCTGCAGAAAGGCCAGATGCTGTCCAACCACACAGTCATTTATTACATTAAAATTGGGGAGGGTAGTGGAAAATCATCAATGACATTGTGCTATTAATAAAAAAAACCATTCATCTTGGGGCGCCTGGGTGGCTCAGTCAGTTAAGTATCTGCCTCTGACTCAGGTCAGGATCCTTGGATCCTAGGATCAAACCCCATATTGCATTGGGTTCCCTGCTTGACGGGGAGCCTGCTTTTCCATCTCCTTCTGCCCCTTCCCCCTGCTCATGCTCTTGCTCTCTCTCTCAAATAAATAAAATCTTTAAAAAAGTATTCATGTATTATATCAGCTTACTTTATCCATCCGACCTTCTTAATATTCTTAGAGGAAATCCTGAATCAAGAATAAAATATCTACTCTCTCAGTACCTCTCTCTTTCAGCAGGATAAAACTTATATTCTAGACATATCCCACAATTCATTGAATGGGTGCTAAATTGATTTGCAGATAAATGAATACTTTGAGGCAATTCTCTTGGAAAAGAAGCCATACCTGACTATAGTTTGGGATGATTATTGTTTTGAGGGGCAGAAGCAGTGAGAGGAATGATGGTGAGAGTGGCTTGCTTCCATAGAGCAACACCACTGATGAAACCAACCTTTGGGACCATCAGCTCCTGGGATTCCTGGAAACCCTATAAGGCCTGGGAATCCACCACTTCCAGGTGGACCTTTGCGAAAAACGATGTCACCTGTAAAAAAAACACCAAAGCTAGGGTTTTGTTTATGTGTTTTTTTTTATTCAATTAGTAAGTGTTTCCATAAGATATATTATTTTATATGCATTTCCCCCATATGTGTTTTGGAGGTTGCATCTTTTGAAGGTTATCTGCAATTGAAGATGAAGTGTTTTGACCAGCTTTTCTTTTCTCATTACACACATTTGATTTTTTTTTTTTTTAATTCCAGTGCAGTGATTCTTTGAAAGCTTGTTATCTGGTTAGTTCTCATCACAAAATCAACCCATGTTATTTTACTCAATTATTTCCAATTATTCCAAGATTATCCTTTTAGAATGTTTAGGCAAAGGATCATATCTCATTCTTCTGTTATTTCAAGTACACTGAATCTCCCTGATATATTGGAGATGCTTAATATATACTCCAGGGAAATGTTCTAACAGAGTATCATCCGTCTTCTTTGCATTACTTGTTCACATCAGTTGAGTTTGTCCTTTTTCAAGAAAGCTCTTCCCAGGTTTCCACATGTGTCAGCTACCATAATGTTACAACAAACAGCTAATGTTCTTAAACTCTTGTGTTCTATGACCAGATTTTTTAGTCTTGTCATTTCAAATCCAGGTTGAAGGCAATGCTGATAAAACTAAATATTTCAAAGCAATGCCTATAGAGGCTCCAAATTTCAGAGCAACAAGGTATCAATGGAGACATTTAATTGAGAAGGAACAGGGTATGGGTAATGTTGGCTTGACTCTGAAAGGAATGTGCATTTTGTGATCCAGTTTTCTGTGTTTTTAAGATGACTGGATAGTTATCTTTAAACAGTAAAACATAATGGCAGTTTTATACTTAAGGTAGACATAAATGTATACTTCTATATTTATACGTTCATATTTATTGGCACATTTTCATAGTCATTTTATACTTAATTCAACAAATATTTGAGTACCTACAATGTTCCACCCCTCAGTGTCACATGCTGGGCTTAAAACAGCAAAGAAGACACAATCCCTGACCTCAAGAATTTTGAGTCTTAGAGGGGAAACTGACAAAGACAGGCAACCCGAAAAACTCTACTACTGGGATAAGCTTGAGTGTTATAGGATGTGGGCTCAGTGAAAACCTTCTGCAGGACTTGAACTTGAAGCTGCCACTGGATAGACAGACAGGTGTTGCTTAGGTAAGAGAAGATAGGAAACCAGGGCCATCTCTAAGGGGAGAGATGCATGGTGTCTTGCAGAGGGAACTGTATTGCGACAGGCACGCAAGGTCCAGAGCCCAACGACAGTACTCATTAGCTCCAAGAGCTATGCACCTCAGGCCCCTTGTTGATAAAATGACCCAACTAAGCCTACATCTGGAAAAACACTTGGAGGACTAGAAATTGTTAAAATCCCCGACACAGTGAAAAGTTTTAGTTAAGTTTTATTTTGCTTTGTTTCTCACATAGGTTCACACCATAGCTTGATAGCTTTTGTTCTTGGACATTTTATCATTTTGTTAATGGAATGATTTCTTAAACAGACATTGGCCTGAAGGGAAGCTTTTATTTTTTTTAATTTTTTTTTTCAAATATTGCACAAAAAGCCAGACATTTAGCTGAATTATTTTACTAACACTAAGAGTTTTCCAGATTATTCTTCTGGATCTTTCAGGTTTATGATCACACTGTCTATAAATAATAAATCCCTGACACAACAGAAGATTCTTAAGGCTATTGGGGGGGGGGTGAGTATAAAACACAAGCCCTCCCAGGCACCTTCCAGAGATGTTTAAGAGACAAAGAGTGGCTCATATGTTCTGAGGTTCTGTGTACCTGTCAGCCAGCAGAGAATGGTAAGTGGCTCTGTGGGGGTCTGGAAAGGAGAGGACAGCTCCAGGAATTTCCCATCCTCTAGGCTGCAGCTCAGTGGTCTCTGACCCACCTTATCTGGCAGCATTGCGCCCATGGCCCTGGTGCATTTCCAGCTCACATCTCCTTGCCTTGGGTTTGCCTGCTGATGCCAGGGCACAGGACACCCTGGGAGCCATGCTAACAGAGGCTGGAAGTATGTATGTGTGTGTGAGTTTGTGTGTGTGTGTGTGTGTGTGTGTGTGTGCGCGCGCTTAGTCTGATCCTGTGAGATATATCTTCCACCCATGACTAATAGGAATCAGTGGATACATTCTTGCTTCTTGGTCCTCTGGGACAGATTGTCCTGAAATAAAGTTGTAGCTTCTAGGAAGATACTCTCCAGGGACCAGACAAGCAGTTGCAAAATTGACCAAGGTCAACCTGAAAACCGTCCCTCCCTCTCTGCTTCACTGTCCCTTGTCCCTGCCTCCCACTCCGCCCTCCGCGGGTGCTCAGGCTGAAGCTTTGCTGCACGAGCCAAGTCTTCATTCTGCCCAAGCTGCTTTCATAGATAGTTCATCAAATGAAACAGCAGCAGAAAAGATGGCCCGTAAGATCCACACACACAGCCGGCCAAGCTGCAAGTAAGGTTCATTGCCACTGATTTGCACCCATCTGTTATTGGGCAGTGTACACAATAGGGGCCCCGTTAGATATCTACCTGGTGGTCCTGGATATCCTGGCAACCCTATAGGTCCTGGCGAGCCAGGACAACCCGGGGGCCCGGGAGGCCCCACTGCATTCTTTCCTGGGGGCCCTCGTTCCCCTTTACTTCCTTTCACGCCTGGAGGTCCAGGGGCTCCTCTGAGGCCAGGCCTTGATGACCCTTGGAGAACAGAATCATGTTAGTGCATTTTAAATGTTTTCCTGATTCATATATATTACTTTTTTAATTGCAAAAAGTAACGAATTCTTATTAACAAAAGTTACACAATCGAGAGGTATAGAAAGTGTATAAAACAAAAAGAGAGTATCTTCCTTCCTTCCTTCATCTGAAGTCTTGTTAAACTACTACAGCACAGCAAAATCCAGAAAGTTCCAGTCCCATGAGGTACGATAGGGACTTATTTAGTACAAGGGACTGAAAGAGAGTTAGTAAGATAGGGACTTATTTAGTAAAAGGGACTGAAACAGAGTTTCAGTTGCACTGTTGTCTTTTTTGTTTAAAAGAACCTCATGAGAAATTCTCCGATATGTGCTGCTTTGTAGAATTTTTCATTAGCGACTAGAAGATACCTAATTTTCAGTGTTCAAAATGAGAAAGAGAGACTGTCCTACTGGACTTCATTCCTGCCAATCATCTTAGTTATAAAATAGCGTGGTGGGGAGGCCAGCATCTTCTGGGAGAGAAGCTTACCAGGTGGTACAAAGCCATTTCATCTGTCTCTCTTACGGTAACAAAGATGTGAGGAGAGGGCCAGTCTGGAATCCCTGAGTTGCAAACAGTTTAACTATAAAGAGGAAAGACCTCACCACCAAAGGGCTGAGAACCGGCAGGGGTAATATCTGATTATTTCTAATTATTGAACAAGGATTTTCCCTGTAAAAGCAAATCCCTCTGGCCTCTGTTTGAGAACTTTGTAATTTTTACTCACTGTCTTCCTAAAGAAGCCTGTTCATTACTTGGGGGGTGTGGTGGAGAGCAGCTCTTCCCTAATCTTTAACCAGACCTCTAAAATATCCTTTTGTATTCCAACTTCAAGAGATACCCATTGTTAACAATTTGCTGTATATTTTTCCATGCACATGCAAGTACACGTAATACCCATTTATTTTTTTTACAATGCGATTATAAAATACATACAGTTCTGCAACTGCTTAATTTCAATTCATTTTCAGAATTATGAAATAGTTTAAACATACCACAAGGCTTAAAGAAAAATGTAATCAACAGCAGGGCTTATTTATCAAATCTTTGCTATTCTTTTTAATCATTTCCTTTTAAAAATGACACATGACAGCACTGTAGTTATAATTAAAGCCACTGAGGTTAATCCTTGATTAAATGTCTTTGATCCTAGTCTTCCTCTCTCAAAAGGCAACCACTCCAGTGAGTCATGGATGTTTTTATAAAACATAAACATGTAAAAGTTTAATCTATGGGGTGCCTGGGTGGCTGAATTGGTTAAGCCACCTACTCTTGGTGTCAGCTTAGGTCATGATACTGGGGTTGTGGGATCAAGCCCCATGTAGGGATCCACACTCAACAGGGAGTCTGCTTGAGATTCTTTCCTCTGCCCCTCTCTTGGCTTGTGCGAGCTCTCTCTCTCACTCTCTCAAATAAATAATCTAAAAAAAAGTGTAATCTACGTACTTACACAACATATGATACACTATGAAAACTACCATTTTTAACCAAACTGATTAATATAAATTATTGTTTTCTACCTCTGTGCCTTTTCTGAGCTTCAAGGCTTCTGCAACTATACCAGTTATTGCCTTACACTTAGTTAAAACCACTGGGAAGTCAAAGAGCATCTCTAAGTGACTTTGTGTCAGCTTCCACTCCCTTTTCTGCTATGAGTTACAAACTTAACAATGAGGAAGCTAGGAACACTTTTAGATCAATTAATGAAGCATTTGTCTCCTGTAAGCAATGCAAACATGTTTCCTTTTTTTTTTTTTTTTAAAGATTTATTATATATTTACTGGAGAGAGAGAGCGAGCGAGCATGAGTGGGGGGAGGAGGAGAGGGAGAGGAAGAAGCAGGCTCCCTGCTGAGCAGAGAGCCTGATGTGGGGGTCCATCTCGGGACCTTGAGATCACTACCCGAGCCAAAGGCAGATGCTTAACCGACTGAGCCACCCAGGTATTCCTCGCCCCATGATTTTCCTTTTAAGACCATTTCTATTGGTGCCCCAAGAAACATGTACATACCAGCAATTCCAGGAACCCCAGGAGAGCCACGGGGACCTGCAAATCCATAACAGTAATTACTTAAGCATAAGGACGTACATACATCCCTCCCCCCCCCATTTTTGAAATCTTGGGTGACCATATTATCGCCATAATATATAATAGCATTATAATTATATAATATTTATTTGTATAATAAATATTATAATATATAATAAATATTTTCATACTTTTTCTTCCACTTTCACATAGATAACTATTAGAAAGCTTCACTTGTTTGGTCAAACCACAGAGAAGAAATTAGTCTGAGATGCTTAGCACTCAGAAGTGGATCATCCCACCTTCCCACCTTCAAACAATTCAGCGGACATCTGCTAGGAGCCTGCTCTGTGTTTGGCCCTCGGTGGGATGGGGCAGACGGGAGAACAGTGACCAGCTAGAACTGCCAGGGTCCTGTGGTTTGGCCTGGTGTTGCATCTCAGGTCACTTCCAGCTGTGACAGTGCAACAGGGTTCCAATTCTCTGATACTTGTGAGTGACTTAGAGTGAACATACCAGATTTAAAAAAAAAAAAACAAAAACAAATCTATGTTCGTGTCTGTACTTCTCTGTCCATTTATTTAAGAACACTGGGAACTTCTCCTCTTTTAAGTGAAATTCTCCTTTGAAATCTTATTTGTATCAATAATTGTCCTTAGTTCGGTGGTTCTTGGTCCTGCCTGCATACTAAAATCATCTAGAGAGTTTTTATAATCTACCAGTGCTCAGGGCCCCCCTCTAGATAGTTATGTCAGAATCCCAGGGATGGGACTTTGGCATGTCATTATTTAGAAGTTCCCAGGGATGCTGATGTGTGGCCACAGAGGAGAACTCTTGGCCTACACCTTTCTAATCTATCCAATGGGACGGCATCTGAGTAAATGTGACTCTGCTTCATGGTACCAGGAGTCAGAAAACCCAGGGTTCAGGCCCCTCTCGTCACTATTGTGTGGGTTTGCTCAAATTACAGTTTTTCAGGGTCCCCATTTTTTCTTTTGTACCCCACTGAGATTGCTGATTCTTCCCATTCCCTCCTCCTGCCCTCTGGCCACATTTGTGTTTTCTTGTCAGACTTGAACTTGATGCTTTCACACACAAAGGGAATTTAATTACCTTCTGTGGTAGAGCACCTATGAAATTTTCATATAAAGGTATGAAAATTAGGACACACCAATACTGCCACCCGTGAAAACTGGGAGACTTCCTTGTTGCCCCCATGCAAATTCTAGGTCTATAAGCACATTTGCTGTATGTTGCCCGGAAAGAAACACATGGAAATGGTCAGCAAATGCTTTAGGAAGAAATTTATTCTCACCTTGTGGGCCACGAGCTCCTTTAGGGCCTGGTGGGCCTGGAAGTCCTTCATCTCCTTTTTCCTGGTAGGCATCATAATATTCTGTCTTAAAGGAAAAAGAAACAAATAGAGAGACAGGATAGCTATTTATGGTGGGCTCACCAAACATAATACCTCAATGTCCCCCCTCAAACAAGAAATGGTATTTTCCCGAATTTGTAAGTTTATGTGTTGGCAGGAATAAAAAAGTCATGTATACATGATGGATAAATTTAAAGATCAAAGTTGATGATTCTGTTATCATGATATCATATATTTCATGGGCTTTCAGTGAGAAATGTATTTTATGATGGGAATGAGCCAGTTCACACCCTCACAGTTCCGTATGTATATATATACATCCATATTGAGATATGTGGGATACGTATACAGAAATTAAAGTTTCACAGGCAGTGACTCACCATTTTGACATAACAACTCTTGATTTTTTTTTATTATATTCTATTTCACTTTTTAAAAATGCTTGTCCTCATGGGCTAACTTTATTTCAGAGTATGTTGGGACCCACCCATCAAAAAATACTCTATTTTGATTATTTCTTTAAATTTAAGGATACCGCTGATTTGCAATAATAAGGAGGGTTATCATTTCTAACATGTTGGGTGGACCTACTGCTGGTCTCCTACACTGTCTGGTTCCTAAGTAGAACTTCCAAGGAAGTTACTAGAAGTGCTGAGTTATATAGAATGGAAACACACACAGCAAGCTAGGAATGCCAAGAATTTCTCTCACATGCAACTGGCAAGCAATTTCACTTAGAATTCAGTACATTTATCTTGAAGGAAAGAAAATGAACATAAAAGTTTTGGTGTTGTTTTTTCATATGCCGCACAGTACCAGTTTGTTCGGAGTGTTTAAAAAAGAGGTAACAAAAGTATTGTGGTTAATCAACTATGCATAAAATCACAAAAATAATTCATAATAGTAACAGTAATGATCATGTAATAATCATCACAAAACCTATAATGACATACGTGCCCCTGCCAACTGCTGGCTAAGTGTTTTCACAAAATGGCCCATTTCTTCTTTCCCACAACTCCATGAAAGTATTCTGGAACTACTTGCATCTGAATCATTGGCGTGTGTGAAGATGTGAATTTCCAGGACGTTCCTCAAGTTACTGAGTTAAATTGCTTAGCCAAAGGGGTCTGAGAACTGTGTTAGTAATGGAACCCCCCACCCCGACCCCATGACTCTTTTACCATCATGGACCTTTCTGTACAACTGGCTTAATCACAAATGCCAGCTCTGTTCAGCACACTGAATGTGAGAACTACTGTTTTTTTAAATTTTTTTTAAGTTTATTTTTTTAAGTGAGGGGACAGGGGAGGAGCTGAGAGAGAGGGAGACAGTGTCTTAAGCAGACTCTGAGCTCAGCACAGAGACTGACTGGGGGTCGATCTCATGACCCTGAGGTCTTGATCTGAGCTGAAACCAAGAGTCTGACCAACTGCACCACCCAGGTGCCCTGAGAACTACTGTCTTCTAAAGGCAGGAGAGAAGGGGATACCAGAATTCAGAGCTTGGGTCCCTTCTACTTATCTCCTTAAGCTATAGAGTCACAAAACAGAGAATATGACGGCTCGGCAGTGGAGCTGATGGACATCACACCCATGTCCATGCCAGAGAGAAGAGACTTCTTGCGGAGTTGGAGTTTGGGCAGGGGGCGATCACTGGTCTTCGCTGGCCCTGGTTGAGTTTCTGCTGCCTGGAAATGCAGGTTGTCATACCTGTGCCCAGCTGGAGTGGTGGGAGTGGACTCCCTCTCCCCTGGTTCCCCAGCTGGCTTCCAGTGCATCCCTCCTACTCTGCTCAAGGGCACAAGTCACCTTGGCCATGTCTGATTGGACGTAAGATTTCTTCCTTGCCACTGACCAGGGTGGGCATTTCATGCCTTCCAGAGACCAGATAGGACCAAATAGAAATAGAAATATTTGTCCATTGTCAAATGGACAAATAATGACGATAGCTATTTTCTTCCTTGGTTTGATAAAAAAGTGAATACCATAATCTCTATCTTAAGTTAATGAGAGACACTGATTCAAAATTTTCTTGATACTTTGAAGGACTTGATCAAATAGGACATGGATACTGTCTTTAGTTACACTTACTGGACCACGAAATCCTGGAGGGCCAATGTCCCCTTTCCACCCCTGTATTGAAAGACAGTTACAAATTATGAGTACATTAACCCAAAGTATTTATTTATTTGGTATGCTTAAAAAGCAAAATGCAGTTAAACAATAAATCAATGCTAAAAGTTATGCTATTTCCATGTCATGTACAAATCTCACTGATCACAATTCCAGTCAGCTTCTACCACACAGAGCAGGTTTTATATCTTTCTCACAAAACTGCCCTTTAGGTGTCTACGTAAACTTGTCACACCTCTCTTTTCCTCTTAATAAACATAACTAAGGTATTTTAATTGCAAACCTTGTACCTATTTTCAGGGCATGGTCTGGAAAGTGTGGACAAAAACCAAGCAGTTAAAAAGCCTAAGGATGGGATGTTAGAGAGGGGATCACCTTAATGCCGTCTTCACCCCGTAACCCAGGGAAGCCCCTGTTGCCTTTGGCTCCCTGTGGAAAAGAACAAAGAGAATGGGTCAGAAGACATACAAGTCATTTTCTTCTGTGGGAAGCAGGAACAGTTGGAGCTCTTTTTATTTATTTATTTATTTTTATTTTATTTTATTTTTTTTAAAGATTCCATTTATTTATTTGACAGAGAGAGATCACAAGTAGGCAGAGAGGCAGGCAGAGAGAGAGGGAGAAGCAGGCTCCCCGCTGAGCAGAGAGCCCAATATGGGGCTTGATCCCAGGACCCTGGGATCATGACCAGAGCCGAAGGCAGAGGCTTTAACCAACTGAGCCACCCAGGTGCCTCTGGAGCTCTTTTTAAAAAAAAATATATATATATATATATATTTATTTATTTATTTTAGAGAGGGCAAGAGAGAGAGAGCGAGCAGCTACACACCCACGAGTAGGGGAGAGGCAGAGTGAGAGGGAGAGAGAGACTCTTCAAGCAGACTCCCCACTGAGCATGAAGCCCAACTTGGGGCTCAATCCCATGACCTTGAGATCAAGGCCTGAGCCAAAATCAAGAGTCAGACACTTAAGCGACTGAGCCACCCAGGCACCCTGGATCTCCTTTTTGAAAAGAAAAAATAAGGTGTGCTCTGATGATCTCTCTTCACGGTGAGGATGTAACACTTCGATTCTCAAATACAGGTTTAAAAATCTATATGCTTTTGCTAACTTAGTAACTATTAGTAATTCCCCAAATCCTTCTTTATCTAATGGGACTGACATTTCAACAACATCAATGGGCCAAATATGTCTTTACCTCAGTGCCGGGGAAACCAGGGGCACCATCTTTGCCGGGTTTTCCCTAAAACAAAAAACAAAGCAAAAACACATAATTTAATAAATATGGATAACTTTAATAAATATGGAAAATGTAAATAATAAATGATCATCTCCTCTTGACCTTGGGCAAGAGAGTGTGACTGAAACTTCCCACCCATCTGTTAGAAGGAAAAACCATTAATCACAGAGCACACATGACCTTTTGCTGGGGAACGCAGAAGCCAGTCAGAATAGAAAATTAGGGAAGACCAACGGAAGAAAGGTTGGGAATTAAGATTAGCTGAGCTTAAACGAGTTTGATACTGCCCATCCCAGCTTGGAAGAAAAATTGAAAAAGCAGAGAAATGGACAAAAAGACCTAGAAAGAGTTCACTGTCAAATTATTTATTTGAAATGTTGGCAATTCCCTGATCCGCCCATGTGCCGATATTTGAACACATTTGTAAAGGTGTATGGCAGTGTCCCAAACAGACAGGGGTTTTGGGTGAACTATTAACAAAGTCTACCTTCTGTGATAGGATTCAATATCATATTGACTGAACACTTTTTCTTAGGAAAAAGTATTTTTCTCAATGTATAATCTTTAGAGTCTTTAGACAATATATGTGTTTAAATCTTTCTAAAATAGAGCTGGGTGTGTGAGTGGACCCCCGTTGCCTCTGTCTCCCCAGCTCCCATGTCACAGTGTGCCTCATCGTCTTTGGGGATCTGCCCTTCCCTCACTGTGTGGGTCTGATGGGACTGTTGGGTCACATTACGCCCCACCACTCTGGCCTGGCCAATCCGGAAACTTTCTCTCCTGGCCACAGTCACCTCTCCAGGGTGAGAGCTAGGAGCACTCTGGATCAATTAGAGCGATTCTCTGGGGTGTTATTAGTGGATACAGGGAGACACACTTTCTTCTTGGAGGCCATTAACCTGAAGCTGTGTGCTGCTACTTCCTGCTATTTCTTCCCATTGCTGCCGACGTGGAAGATCAATGTCAAAGGAGACCACGAGGTCAATACACAGAGGAGGAGAAACGATAGGGAGAGTACTGCCCATCTTGTTTCAGGCTCTGAAGTCCTCGAAGGCTGTTTGAGCCTTGAACTCCTCAGATACTTGAAAAAATAGGTTTCATTTCCTAAATCTTTGAAAAAATGTACAAAAAATCTAAGCTAGTTTGAATTGGGCATCTTACACTTGCCTCCTAAAGAGATCTGAGCATTGACTGATACAGGTTGTACATGACACTGAATTTCCAAATTTACCTGTGGGCCAGGTTCTCCAGGAGCACCCTTTTGAGATCCATAAGATTCTCCAGGAGGTCCCTGTAATTAATAAGAGTTATGTCAAATTTTATGAATTGATTTTTTGACTCACCCTCGATTGTCATTAAGTTGTTCCTTCTGCTTATTCTGTTATATTTTAAAAATGTTCCAATGGTGGGTCATCTCATGTATAAGCATTCATTTAAAAACAGATGCAAAATGAGGGTTTTGGAGGGAAGGGGGTTGGGAAGGGGGGTTGGGCGAGCCTGGTGGTGGGTACTAAGGAGGGCACGTATTGCATGGAGCACTGGGTATGGTGCATAAACAATGAATCTTGGAACACTGAAAAATAAAATAAAATAAAATGAAATGACAATAAAAAAATAAAAACAGATGGTAAAATAGCAGATGCTGAAGATAAATCATAAGATGGGAGACAGTGGTTGGGTATACAACCGTGCAGGGATTTCGGCTAGAAGAGGCTATGAAATGATTCTAGTATATTCTGTGATGTCTGTGCTGAAATATCATCATGCTTTAACTAGCATTAAGATTTAAAAGGAGATCATACATCAAAATCCACACTAAGGTTCTACTTCATGTTTCAAGGAAACAGTATGACTCTGAATAACCTACCGAGGGTCCAGGAGGTCCAGATTTCCCCATGGCTCCCTTGTCTCCCTTCTCCCCTTTGAGGTTCTGCCACAAAAACAATTTAAAGTCATTACACACAGATCAAACAAAAATAATTCCACTTCTACTTGAAAATTTTCTCTGTTCAACGAACTGTATCTACAAACTACTTACAAACCTCCTGTTAACATGACAGACTATCATTTTTCATATTCCAAATTTTATACTTGTGAACCCATTAAAACCATACTTAAACTTTTGTTGTTTTAAAGAAAGCACCTTTTGGATCAAACTATGTTAAACCAACTTAATTCCTGAATCTTTTTTCAATAAGGACATTCAAATCATTCCCAACATATCTTATTTTCATTTTTAATATACAGAAATTATTTTCACTGGGATCAATTAGTTTCTGAGCATGTGTTATGAGGCTTTGATTGCTTTAGTCAGGTTTGTTTGTGTTCTTATCACATTTCATTGACTGTATTTTCCCCAGTGTGAGTCTCCTCTTGGAGCATCATTTTTTTCAAACTCAAAAATTGTCCCCTGGGTCAAATCTTCCAGATCTAGATTTTCATCAAGATAAGATTTTTTTTTCTTTCCATTTCTGGCCAATGAAATTTTAGACTTCTCTAATTTTTTTTGTTGTTGTTGTTGATTACCTCTGAGAAGTTTAGCTTTTCTCCTTAGGTCAATTTTTTCCAGTCTTCAATGAGAATTATTATTTTGGTCATATCAAATTTCACCATGTTTTGTTTTAACTCTTCTCAGTTTTGTTTTGATAATTTTTACCATTAAAAATTAATTGTATTGGAGAGTAAGGGCTAGAGGGTTTATATTTTAGGAGATGAAAATGTTCTAAAATTGCATGTGGTAATAGTTGTACAACCCCATGAATACACTGAAAGCACTGAAATATGCAACAAATAAGTGAGCTTTGTGGTATATAAATTATATCTGAATTATGTTGTAAAAATTAATTATAACTAAAACCCATGAATTTTATTTTTTAAAACAGTGAATTAGATGGTATGGGAATTATATTTTAATCTAGCTATTATTAAAAAATCAGAAGTTTAAAGAGGAAGGTTTATGTTTATTTCTTAGTTAATCAACAGGAAAAATGTTAGTTAACCCCTTACTTCCCATCCCCTCTTCTCCCAGACATTCAGGATCAACCTTGTGTCTAGGTTTGGGGTATTATATTATGATTCACTTTTTCTGAGCATTCATTCAGTTCTATATCCTGGTCCTTCTAGCTACCCTAGAGTAGGAACAAAAAAGCAAATGTTCATTTTGAAAAACAGGATCACAATGTCATTGGAGAGGAATGCAGGCCACATTGCCCTTGGGGACATAATGGCAGGTAAAAATGTCCCATTTGATTTTCACACTATTCCAGTAATATCTTTAGGTCATTACTGTCTGGCTGGATCAGAGCCATACACCTATTTTGTTATCATTTTTTCAAAAATACTCACCGAATCCCCATCTGAGTTAGGAACAATGTGGGGGTGGTGAGGATAAAAGGTGAGCAAAATTAGATCCAGGCTCTACCTTCTAGAATCGTGGAAGTTGCTAGCGTCTAATCTTGCCTCAGATCTCTGTCTTATGTTTTCTGGTTCTCAAGTAAAAGATGGAGAAAAAATAAAATCCAGAGGCTGAGGCTGGCTGAGAGGGCTCAGAGGGCAAAACTTATAAAAGAGGTAAGGGAGGGGCACCCGGGTGGCTCAGTGGGTTAAGCCTCTGCCTTCGGCTCTGGTCATGATCTCAGTGTTCTGGGATGGAGCCCCGCATCAGGCTCTCTGTTCAGCAGGGAGCCTGCTTCCCCCTCTCTCTCTGCCTGCCTCTCTGCCTACTCGTGATCTCTCTCTCTCTGTCAAATAAATAAATAATAAAATCTTTAAAAAAAAAAAAAAAGGAGGTAAGGGATCATGGGGACCTCCCCCCAGAAGTGAGAACACACAACCCGTGTAATAAAATGGAAGAGTTACCGTTCTGTTATCCGGGCCGGTTAGTGTCACAATAACCGTTCCTGGTGGTCCAGGGGGTCCTGTTAATCCTTTTACACCCTAAAAACAAACACACTCAGGAACGCGAAACCAAAGAACATCACCTCGGTTTTTGGAGAGCTAGATTTTCCCCTTTGGTTCTTAGGTAAGAAGATATCGCAAATGACAAAGCAAACACGTTTGTTCCAGTGTCACTTACAGACTAAGAAGTGCAGGATGATTGCTATGAAATTTAAAATGTCTTGCCCATTAATAAACCACAATATTTGAATTACCTGCTCTCCTTTTTGTCCTATCACATTATCGCCCATGTGACCCTGTAAAAAAAGAAAACATTAAATTATTTTTTTAAAAATGGATATGAGGCATCTAAACCCACTGATGTTCCTTCCAATGTTTGTAATGGAACGTTTGTCTTTTAATGGTGATGTCAGTGTTACAAAAATTACTTTACCTATTTCTTGGAGGAGAGAGGCAATATGTTTCTGAGATCACAAACTGCAGAGGGCTTAAGGGATTACTTCACAAGGCGAAGGAGGACATGACGTGGGGTGGGATGGGGAAGAGAAACCAGCTTGGAGAACGTTTTCCTGGCTCAGACACTGGCTGGTTATCTAACTTTCTGATGCCCTAGTTTTCTCATCTTAAAGATAAGAGGGAAGGATGACTGAACTTCTGGATTCCGAAATTCAAAAGTTGAAGGAGGCTAAGAAAACATTTGAGGCTATCTCCCTTCACTAGTCATTTAGTGAATCCAGCTAAGTCTAATGTGAATAGTCTGTCTCGCTGTAACAATGGCTAATCTATCATTTCAACCAATGCCTCCTTGCTATTTTTTTTAACTATTTATTTAAATCTTGTTAGTTACCATACAGTGCAACACTGGTTTCTGGAGTAGAGGTCAATGATTTATCACTTCCATACTACATCCCGTGCTCATCACAAGTGCCTCCTGGCTTTTCTGCTCTTGAGTATATAGATCTTTCCCCTATTAGCCCACAAGCTACAGGAAAAAAGCTCAAGATAAGGAATCAAAACACTTTAAATCTCAGCTCTGTCATTTACAATCTAGTTGTCCACTCAAATAATGATATAATAATTGTGGAAACACCTTGGCAAGTTCCCTGCACACCAAGTCTAGCTGTAGTGAGCAAGAACTACTACTGCGTGAGGACTAATTTCCTGGGGGGCTCAACCTCACTCAACACTTTCCTACCTAGTTAATGGAGGGGCTCAGAATAAGCCACTCCAAAATATATCACTTTGGCATAAGAATTATTTTGAGCTCAAGACAACTGAGTAACAGCAAATGGAGAAAAGGTTCTCCACCCTCCTCCATTTGCCCAAGGGCAGGGTTTGGGGAAGATGTCCCCCAGCTCTTCTTCTATACCAGGAAGAGGAGACAACTCTTACCACTGGAGCCAGCACTGACTGAAATCTTCAACAAATCTTACTGAATATCTTACTGAAATCTTACTGAAATAACCCTCATCTCCCATTAGTTTCCCCCATGTATTTACCTTCCTGCAATTTACTGCCCCTACCAGCTCGAAACCTTTTTCCTTTGTCTTGTCACTCCTCCGCAAATTTTTATCATCCTTTGTTAATATGGTACATACGCCTCTGGACCTGACAGCCTCTTTGGGGTTTTTATTTCATTTCTGTGAGGCCCCCACATGCATATGAAATAAACCTTCTTCTTCTGTTAATAGGTCTTTTTTCAATTCCATTTGCACATCCCCACTCAGGACCTAAGAGGATAGAGAAAAAGTTTTTCCTCCCCAACACTAGCAATTAGTCTTTATGAAAAAGACATGCAGGACCCTGCTTAATGAGTACATGAATATTCACCCTTCGTTTACTAGCATTAAGATCAGGTTGGCGTTGGGAAACAGTCCACTACAAAAGTTTATAGGATAAAGTGTTGGGTGATCGGTAGGATTATCGGAAATGGGAAATCTATGGACTTGCCCTGTCCTGATAGGGAGCTCCTTATAACTGAATTATCTAGGATCAAGTTACTAAGTCCAGGGAGAAGAGAGTGAAAGGTACAGAGCTGCTTGTCCTGTTCCCTTCCCTGCCAGGGATCCTGTGGCTTCTAGAGAAGAACCAGGATGTAACCACATGTCCAATCAGACCAGGTTTGTCTTTTAGCTCATTTTCGGTGTTCTGGCTGTTGTGATATATGAACCATAATCTACCTTAGGTCCTGGAGGTCCCATGGGTCCTGGAAAGCCCTAGAAAAATGCACAAGTTAAAATTACAGCAAACAATGTGCCAAGATGAAAACTCTGTGTAAAGTTTTCACTATAATGAGTTTATTAGGTTACAGGGTCTAGAGTAGTGATGATTTCATACTCACTAAGAATCCTGGAGGGCCAGGTGGGCCAACAGGACCCGGAAAGCCTGGAAGGCCTGGCAAACCCTATAAATTAAAAGAAGAATAGAGTTAAGCTTGAATTTACTTCTCATCTAAGAACAATGTCCATTAATTAAATCCATTAAAATATTTTAGTGAAGTCTGGGGAACATGATGCCTCTCATTTATGGCTGCAGTTAATTACAAAAAAAGTAAAGAAAAACGTGCCTAAAAGCATGTTGCCATGTATAACAAGATGCCAGGAACATGCTGATGGGAACATTTCCAGAATTATTTTAGAGCTTTTTAAAAATTTTTAAAATTTTGCTTTTCTGTCTATCTCTCTTTCTGTCTCACTGTCTCCCTCAGCCAAGCAAGCTCCTCCGGTAGGGCCCTCTGCCTGCTCTCCTTCTGCCTACAGTCCACTTTCCCCAGACATCTTTAGGACTCACTCATATCCTCTCCCTTTTCTTATTTTCACTCAAATGTCATCCTTTACCCGTCCATCCAATCTAAAGCCATACCCCTTCTTCCAACCTGGACACTTCCTCTCTCCTGCCCCTGCATTATTTACCACCTTGGCATTTCCTGCAATTTAACACACCATGCACTTTACTAATTTACTAATTTACATCTTTTCTGGTTTCCACTACTAGAATGTCAGCTTTATGAGGACAAGAATTTTTTTTTTGAACTCTTTTTTGGCTTATTTGTACACCATGCTATCTCTAGAGCCTAGAGCAGCTGCTTACACATAATCAGGATGTAATAAATATTTCTTGTATAGATGACGGTTACCCTGCTCTGTCTTCATCAGCAGTATGCTGCCATACCTAGCCAACACTCCATGCACATCTAAGGGACACATCAGTGTCCCAGATTGCTGCTATCTCTTCTTACTGGATCCCTTTCCTTCAGCATCCCACCCCGTAAATGTTTCCTAAGCAAGAAAAATCAAGTCCTATCATTTCTGCATCTTTCCTCAGTAAAGGCTCCTAACTGCATCATTGTTCCATTTTGTGGTTCACTGTCAGTTGGCATGGCTCACCATCAGGGGGTTCAATACCCTAAACTCAAACTCTGTGATTCACTTAGACACATTTCCAGAAATTTCCACATATACTTCTGAACTAGGTTAAAATATTTCTGGTTAATTAACCTGGAAGTTACTCCCTATGCCTTAGGTCTATCAAGAGACCCTTTGAATCTCAAAGTAAAGCATACACAGTCCCCAAATAACCGTGTCTCTTCCTATCCATTAGGGATCACGCTCAGATCTACATACATCTAGATCAGAAAGTAAACCTTTCAACAGGAGAAGATGCATTTAAATAAATTCCATTTACTTACTGTCATGCAAACTTGGAAATAGGGCTGTTATTTAACATTATAGTTTTAAATGATATTCCATGTATGGTACAAACCTATCCTTGATTTCAACAAATACGGAATAAGTGGAGCATAACTATTCCTTGAAGATTCCTCCTTAGGTTTAGGAAAGCCTGGGTAATTGAGATTTAAGCAGAGATTAAAAGACTTAGGCGCAATATCATCCTTTTATATTAGTTTCATGGAGTTTCGTATGAGGTGAATGTTTTAGAATGAAATGAAGTCAATATGTCAACAGAAGAAATATGTCTATTTCACATGTTCTTGTGGTTGTCAGGGGTGGGGATGGGGGACGGTGAAATGGGTGAAGGGGGTCAAAGATAGAAACCTCCTGTTAGAAATAAATAAGTCTCAGGGATATAAGGTACAGCATAGTGACTGTAGGTAACAACACTGTACTCCAGATTTGAAAGTTGCTAAGAAAGTAAAGTTCTCATCACAAGAAAAAAAGAGTATTCATCACTGTGGTGATGGAGATTAACTAGACTTATCGTGGGGTTGTTCCACAATATGTGCTAACATCTAATCATTACCCTGCACCTCTGAAACTAATATAATGTCATATGTCAATTATACCTCAATAAAAAAAGAAAACAAAACAAAAAAGAAAACAGAAAACAAACCATAAAAATGTTCCTGAGACAGTGAGAAAGAGATTTAGGGGAAAACAGAGAAGGAGAGACAGACAAATACAGAGTCACTGAGATACAGAGAGAAGAGAAAAAGGAGAAGGACAGACAGACAGACAGGGACCGAGAGCCAGAGCTAGAGGACTGAGAATATCGAGACCTTCTCTAACAGGTGATACCTGGAATCCCGGAACTCCTGGAAACCCAGGGTCACCTCTTCCATCAAGTTCTATATCTTCTGCAGCAGGGGCACCCTTGAAAATGAAGAACTTCATTAAACATAATCATAAACATAAACATATTTTCAAAACTCCTTTAAATGCTTCTTCAAACTCCTACTACCTCAAGGACAGAAGTGCTTTTCAGGATATATCCTTAGAGAAATGATTTAGGATTATGTATTTACTCCATTTTGAAGAAATAAAAGATTTTTCTGTATCCTAAAATTGACAATTTACTACAGAAGGAAGAAAGACACAAGGATGAGAAACATTTCTCAAGATACCAAAATTAGTGGCAACTCCTGACCTAGAAGGTGGGGCCCTCAGGCTGAGGTGAATTCTCTTCTCCTAGACTCTATTCCCTTAAAGAATTTTATAAACATTGTATCCCTTAAGAGATATGTATGACAAGAGCTAAAAGAAGTTGCTGAATAGGAATAAATATCGTATCCAATTTTTAGTTGGTTTCTGAATTAATTGTCAAACCTGATTTGTAATTATTTACATCTCATTATTTAATAGCAGTCCTTTCATATGTACACTTAGAGATAATAATATGCCACACTTGACTTACCTTTTCTCCTTTCAAACCAATAGCACCCTAAAAAAAGGAAACCAAATACATAACATCACTGCTTTGTCCTTGCTGCTATTCTGCTCCCTCTCCCACTGTCTACTTCACTGTTTTTTAGATTTTTTTAATTTAAATTCATTCATTAACACATAATGTATCATTACTTTCAGAGGTAGAGGTCAGTGATTCATCAGCCTTATATAACCCCCAGTGCTCATTATATCATGGTCCCTCCTTAATATTCATCACCCAGTGACCCCATCCCCTCACCCCCTCCCTTCCAGCAACCCTGTTTGTCACCTACGATTCAGCCGTCTCTTGCAGTTTGTCTCTCTCTCTGATTTCATCTTGTTTTATTTTTCCTTGCCTTCTCCTATGCTCCTCTGTTTTGCTTCTTAAACTCCACATATTAGTGAGATCATATGATAAATCTTTCTCTAATTGACTTATTTCACTTAGCATAATACTAGTTCCAACCATATCACTGCAAATGGCAAGATTTCATTTTTTGATGGCTGAGTAGTATTCCATCGCATATATATTCCCACTGCTTTTTAAACATGCTTGAGTTTCTTTCATTTAAACAGACAAAATCTCCCCCCACCAGTCTCTCTTTCATGCCATCTGCAATCTTCTCATTCTGTTCATTCCTTACTCCCCCCACCTGCCTCCTGCTTCCATCCACGCTGGAAATACCACTTGCTAAGGTCTGCAATGACAGTGACATTGCTAGAATCAATGACAAGACCTCAGATCTTACTGGACATCTCAGCAGCATTAGGCAGCTGTCAGCCACTCCCCTCTACTGAAACACATCTTCCCTGGGCTTCCACGATATTCTTGGTCTTCTTTCTACCAGTAGGGTCCTCCTCCTTACAGACTTATTCCCCTCGACCCAGACGTCCCATGCTGGGCTTTCTAAGTCTGTTCTGAGGTTCTTTTCCCCTCTTTCTCTTGCTCATTGTGTCACCACCATCCAGGGCCTCTGGTCTAACCGAATCCAGCTGCCTATCCCTCATCTCTGCTTGGATGTCTCAAAAGCAAAATAAAGCCTCAAAACACAAACCTGAACTCATAAGGCATTTAATCATTCATTTATCCCCCCCACCGATGAGTTTAATATCTACTACTGGCTGCTCCTGACTTCCACAAAGTCATGATGGATTTTGGCACACAGCCATTTTGGAGTAAATGACTTGTATTTCTACTTTATACAGAGTTAGAAATGGACACCTACCGGGATCCCTGGGTACCCTGGTGTCCCCGGAAGGCCTGGAAACCCTCGCTCACCCTGGAAGGCAGACAAAGCTTGTTATTCTTTTCAGTTGTTCTAGAACAGCCTATTGAGATATTTTCCCTGTTTCTCTCTTCCAGCCCTGCAGTGGTAAATCTAGACTAAGTAACCCAAATTCCTTATGGCTACTGGGTCATGAGGCTGAAGGCCAGAAAAACATTATCTTAATTGAAAATAGGATTAGAATATACTGTTTCTCAAATTGTGCATAAATGGCAAAAGTCCAGTTGTGCCAAGAACTTTTTAATTGCTGTTTCCTTGAAACTTGAGTAATTAGTTCTTTCGTGGGCACCATTCTGGGTGAAAGGAGGGCGCTGTCATGGAACAAAGGGCATGGGTGAATGCTGAAAAGCTCGGTCACTCTTTTTCAAAGACCAATTTTGCATTCCAAGCTTTCATTTCTGATTTAGATAGAATCACAACCTCAGGTGAAAGTGACTGGGTGAGCCCCTAGTTGTCTTTTTGTGCGAGAACACAAGAGAACATCTTCAAAACCAAGAAACCAAGCCACAAGAAGAAAGAAAACCATCATGTTTCTGTCCTGAAGACACATATCAGTGGTTCTGGCTAAAAGAATCTCTCAAGGAAAATCTGTGTCTTCTCTTTCCTCCTTCCTCTCGATTGATTCAATCTGAAGAACGTTTCCTAGCCATCTCCTGGGTGAGAAGTACATACCTTAGAACCATTGCATCCTGGGACACCGGCAGGTCCATAGGGCCCAGGATGGCCCGGGGTGCCCTAAAAACAGAGCAAGTCTCAGAAAGGTGACATCAGCACTCGGCCCCGGGAACAAGTGGCCATCGTGAAGGACCCAAGGTGAGGGAGAGGTGGTCCAACTTAAATAGTTATTTAAATACAAATGGCTATTAAATAGTTCCGTTGTATCTTTAGTTATTTTAGGTGATTTAAGTAAAAAGTATAGCAAATAAAATGGCCAATCAAAACCAAAAATTATCAAGTGAGATACATATATTTTAGATAAAACAAAAGACCTTTCTATATAAAATGAAGTCCTTAATATGATATTTTAAGCTGGAAGAAAGGAAAGGAAAAAGAAGAGGGATGTATACATAAGGTAACATTTTATTGTTCTACACTATTAAGCAGAGTTAATATTCTATCTCATCTCTTCTCTTCTCTTCTTTTCTCTTCCTTCATTCCATTCCTCTCTACTCTACTCCACTCCATTCCATTCTATTCCATCTAACCTATCCTATCCTGTCCTGTCCATTCCATCCCGTCCCATCCCATCCCATCCCATCCCATCCCATCCCATCCCATCCCATTCTATCCCATCTCATACGGTCAAGTCCCATCCTGTCCCATTCCATTCTATTCTGCTTGGACTGTTCAGGAAGTCCAACTGGACTTGTGTGTTCTACAAATCCAAACTCTAATATGTTATGTGACTCTACTGTGACATTTTCATCATGTAGCTCATATCATAGCAACCATTTCCTTGTGCTATTGCTTTAACCTCTTTATTAAAGTGAACTTTCTTTTTATTTCTTTTAAATTTACACATTTTCCCCATTACTTACTGGAAGTCCAGGAGGACCTGAAAATCCTGGCAATCCTGTTATTCCCTAAAGATGTAGAAAAGGGGAAGGTGGAAAGAAAAACACTTAAAAAGTGTTTGAGCCTATAAAAATAGAAGCATTTACCATTATGATAACACCATCCTGTAATGACAATTAGGAATGGTTAAACACTATTTGAAAACAAACAAAACAAAACAAAAGAAAAAAAGGTTGGACAAATTTCTCAAAATCTTACATTTATCAAACTACTTTTTAAAAATTTTTAATTTAAATTTTAGTTAACATACAGTGCAGTATTTAAAAAGAGATGATTAAGATTGTTTTTGTCTTCTTTGGGGGCACTTTTGAGGCATAATTTGTATACAGTAGATGGCCCCAAGCTTCTGCAAAGAGCTTGAGGAATGTTTACATATGAGTGCATGTACATACTGGTATCACCACCACCATCCCATCCAGACAGGGAACATCTCCACACCCCTCCATGATCCTCTCACACCCTTTCCTAGACCATTAATATCCACCCCAACACAGTAATCACTGCTTTCTACCATGACAGATTACTTTTACCTGTTCTTGAACTTCACCTATACAGTGTATCAAACAGAATGTATTCTTTTGTGACATTTGTAGAACTTTTACAGTGCAGAGTTCTTATTTTTTAAAGAAGAAGAATTTTTATCAAACCATCCAGATGGACCAGTTGGACTACTAACCCTCACACCTTTGGGACCAGTGAATCCTGGGAGTCCTGGTGAGCCCTAGATCCAAGAAAAAAAAAAAAAGGAACTGGAAATTATTTGGTACTAAGACACTATAAATTAAAAGTTCCCATTCTATTCACATACCAAACTGTTTTGCTCTTGTGATTATTTCAGTGTTAACACAGTGAAATTGCTTGTTTGCTTAATTGAAGCTAAAATAGTTTTTAAAAGATTCTTATTTACTTATTTATTTGATAGAGAGATTGAGAGAGAGAGATCAAAAGTAGGCAGAGAGGCTGGCGGGGGTGGGGTGGGGGGAAGCAGACTCCCTGCTAAGCAGAGAGCCCAACTCGGTGCTTGATCCCAGGACCCTGAGACCATGACCTGAGCCAAAGGCAGAGGCTTAACCCACTGAGCCACCCCGGTGCCCCTAAAGCTAAAATATGTATCAGAAAGGACGAACAGAAATTCATTCAAAGCCCTGCTACCCAATGTGGGGTCCAGGGTCCTGCAGGACTAACATCACCTGGGAGGCTCCCAGGCCTCCCCCACCCCCACACACATTGATTCCCAATCTACGTTTTCACCAGATTAGAATATGACTCTTGTCCCCATTAATGTCTGAGAAGAACTGCTGTACAAACCCCGCATTAACAAGACAGCTACTGAGGTCTGATAAGGATGATGATGCAGTTATAATGGGGATGAGAATGGCAGTCAATATTCCTGTGCATAAGAAAGACTTTATTAGCAAAATGGGCCTGGCAGGCATGAATAAAGGAACAGCCGAGTAAGGACGGTCTGAACCAGAGATAAACTTGCTCTGGGCATAGGATGAATATGGCATAGAGGCCCTGTTCCTTACAGAATAACCTTAAATGGAGACTTTTTGAACCAGGCCACTTGGTGGGGAAGTTCCATTGTCCAAAAGCCGTTTTTATCATTCCTGGGAGTTTTAACATGTTTTGGTATTTTTGACTTTTTTTTTTTTTTTGAGAAAAGGGTTGTTACAGACTCTTCTGAGATGGGAGGGTCAAGGCCACAGCTGGTCTTTGCTGACTGAGGTGGAATGCCTGGGTGCATGCCCATATTCTCCATCTCTGCGTGATGCTGTTTGCGTCATGTGCAAGACCCCAGAATTGTGACTCTCTTCAAGCATACAATATTTAAAATTAAGAGAGGAAAATTTTAAGGCTGAAAAATCTTTTTGGTCAGGTTTTAACATGCAATAATTGTCTGCCTTTGATCAAATTATCTTTTGTGGGTCCATCTATAAAGTATGCTGTCATATCCAAATTCCATGGCAATGTGGCCCCCAGATTTTCTGGATTAACTTTATGGAATACCTCCACATCACCGAACCAAACTGTTGTGTCGTATGTTTGCAAAGATTATTTTAATCGATTGTTGGCTTTTCTAAAGAAATGCCAGTGTAACGAGCAGAGTGGGGGTAGAGAACGAAACAAAAAGGAAAGAGTTGGCATGAGTTGATCCAAGTCCAGCATTGAAGCAGCAAATCCGTTTTATTAGTGAAATGGGGCAACAGCCTAGGCCATGCCCTGGAGGAAGGTAGTGGGATGGTCAGTCACTGAATGGATACGATTTCAGACACTAAATGTCCAGAGTCTAAATGATATTTTTTCCCCAAATTTAGGGTCAGAAGAAAGAGAAATGGAGAAACAACAGATACATGAATTAGAGAGACATGAATGGCAGAATTCCTGGAAAATAACAACATTTTGCTTGTTAGAAACTGTAGGTGTGGATTTAGTTTCTTTGGATATGGGAGTTTGATTCTGGCATCATCTAAAACCAGATCTGAACTCTGATTTTGCCACTAAAACAGAGACTGAGTCACCATAGTCATGATTTCTGGGATCAATGGAAAGAGTAGCTCAGAGACAGTCAAGAGTAAACATCCCAATGCCTGACACAGAATAGATTCACAGTAACTTGTTGCCTTTGATGACCAAACAAGTAGTACACACATTGATGAAATTTAAAAAGACTCTGTGGGGATCAATTTCAATGATCTTTCATAGCTTACTTATTAGTTCATAGCTTGCTGGAGGCCTGCAGTCAGGGGAACGACCATGTGAGTGCGTGAGAGCCCAGGCTTAAGTCTAGCTAGTGTCCGCAGCAGGAAAGAGCCATCAGCACATCTAGTGGGTATGTGGTTCTTTAGCAAATCCTCTAGGGTATTTATTTGAACAAAGCCCTTTGTTGTATCACAGACTTTAGGATAAAAATGTGTGATGAGTTGAGAAAGAGGAACCCATGAAAGAAAAGAAGGGTGTGACAAAAGAAGAGATTCAGAGGAAGGATGATTCCAGAAACAAAAAAAGACAAGTGTTTCAAGGAGAGTGACCCACATGGTTTGAAACAAAGCAGAAGGGCCTGGGACAGATAGGGACACAAAAGTCATGGGTGATTTCTGCAGGAGCACTTTCAGGGCAGGGGGACCAAAGGCAAATCATGGCAGCTAAAGAGAGAACAGGAGATGAACTACAGTTAGCCTGGTTAGTTACTTTGTTTGTTTTTTAAATCTTGACAGAGAAAGGAAAGACAGGGAAAGGATAGCAATCCTTTGCTTACAGGACCTGAAAGATCTAGATGAAATTTTATATTTCATTAGTATGGGGGCCATTTACATACTTGAGGATTGAAAGAGAAAAGCTAACATCAAAAAGAAAGGAGGGGCCAAGAGGCATGGTTCTGGTGGGAGTCCCAGGATCAGGGGACAGGGGGAAGAACAGGTCCTGAATGGAAAGCCAAAAGAACTCACCCTTTTATGCAAGACGAGAGAAAATAGGCAGGTATAGAAGCTGTGTGGATCAGGGAGGAGGAAGAAGTTGAGTAGGGAATGTCAAGGTGATGAGCATTTGAATCTCTTGGGATAGATGCTGTTCTGAGGACCAGGCGAAGCCTGGAGAGCAGAAGTTCGGCATGGCACTCAGCAGTTGGCTTAGATATGGAATTCTCTCTGGTTCCCAGCAGCCCAGGGGTAGGCATAAAGAAGGTTAGATGTATTGGGGATATTCTAAGCTTATGAACTGACATACCTTGGGTCCCTGTGGTCCAGGCAAGCCTTCGGGACCTGGGAATCCCTTCTGGCCAGGAGAACCAGCAGGTCCAGGAAAGCCTTTCTCCCCCTATTAAAAACCAACACAGGATAAGAAACACACAGAATAGCATTGTCTAGCAATAAACATACCAAAAAATATTGCTTTCTTTTCTTTACAACTTAATGAGAACATTTGACATATTTTCCCCCCTTGGATCAACAAAATTGGCACTCAGCAGTAAGTATAACAGTAAATGGAAAGCTACCTGCTTTTGGTATTTGTTGATAAGCTTGAAAGTATATGCCTTTGGTGTTGTAGGAACTACCTTTCCCCAAATGGTGGCGCTACATAGAGCAGAGATTCAGAGAGTTCATCAAGAAATAGAAAAGGAATGGGTGTGTGGGTGGCTCAGTGGGTTAAAGCCCTTGCTTTTGGCTTGGGTCATGATCCCAGGATCCTGGGATCGAGCCCCATATCGGGCTCGATGCTTAGCAGGGAGCTTGCTTCCTTTTCTCTTTCTCTCTCTCTCTCTCTGCCTGCCTCTCTGCCTACTTCTGATCTCTGTCAAATAAATAAATAAAATCTTAAAAAAAAAAAAAAAAAGAAGTAGGAAGGGAAAGCCCAGTGAGAAAGCTGAGATTGGTTCAGTGCGCTTGCTTGGGGATGGAAAGAGAATGAGGCTAACACACAAGAATGTGTTTGGGGAGTGTGCATAATTGCCCTGTAGCTTGAAAAGAACAACAAGCAGGCTATCAGCTTTAGCCCTTTCTTGATTACACAGGAATTAGTAATCCAATCTGCTCTTTGTGTAGGAGATGCAGGAGATATCAAGAGTGGCATTACCAAAAGGGTGAGCTAAATAATTTTTTAGAAAGAGATGATATTATGAGAATGTCCCTAGAAACGAGTGAGTGAAAATAATTTAGGCCCCATGAGTGACATGGTTCTGCCAACAAATAATTTTCTGGTGAACATAGGTCCTGGGATCACTCTTTATAGATGTCACTGGTTGATTCAGTCAATTTAATTACACAATTGGTAAATTAAATTTTAAAAAAGAGAAAGAGACCAAGTCAGCCATTTCACATTGTTATATTCATACACATCCCATAAAAGAAGAAACAAAAGAATTTGCTTGTCCTCTGTCAATACTCAGTCACTTGCACACATTCTAGAATAGCATCTTGCACACAGTAGGGACTTGATAAATTCTTGAGAGCAAAAAGGAATCCCAGCTTTCCAACATGCATCTGAGTATATTACATTCATAGCTTTAGGGAAAAACTTAAATCAAAGTTCGTGTTAATTATAGAATAATTGAAAATAAATAGAATAGTTACTATAGTTAGTACATAAATTATGTGCAAATTATTTTATCTAAAGAGCTAAAAATACATTCTAAAAATATTTTTAGTCCCCTTCAGTATTGTTAAGCAATTCATTAGTGTCCCAGAAGAAAGGGTTTGGTAAACAAAGAAAAAACTTTAGTTCTGCCTCTGTCTTAATTATCACAAATTGCAGGTTAATGGAGCGGACTAATGAGATTTCATGGCATTCTATTTTTTCCTTGAATTCTGCAATAGAGCTACAGGTTTGCCCCGCTATCTGAAGACACAGACTTCCTACGAAACTTTTCCTAATTTGAAATGGTGTAAAGCAAAGAGTATCCCCGCATTCCGAAAGTTCGAATTACACCACTTTGCTTTTATGAAAAACCTACGTTAGTGTGGTAATGTTTGTTTTGTTTTGTTTTGTTTTGTTTTTCCAAAGGAGCAAAATCCTCTTCGGATTTCTTTTGGTTACCAAAACGAATGGCTGTGTGGGTCTTTCCTAAAAGCGGAGTGGCGCAAGGCGAGCTTTCAGAAAGCGGGGGACACCTGTAGTTCTTCCTTGTGCGGCATTTAGGCCTTAGCCAGAGTGCTGTTGCGGAATTCCACCGCCAGGGGGTGCGCCTGCACCAGTGCTGCGGGCCTTGAAGACTGCGGATTCCAATGCCTGTGTCCAACTGAGTGTTATCAAGCTGTCTTCCGTTGGTCTCTCATGTTTATCAACATTTCTACATATAGAGACATTCTTAGAAGCTTTCTTTTTTGCCAACTTGCTCCTTTTTCTTTACAGACCGAAAGAGTTACATTTTAACTGATGGCATTACACAAGTTGCTTGAAACTTTCCAGAAGGCTTTTTTTCCTCTCCTTTTCTTTGGTTAATGTTTATATACAATTTCTTTAAAATTGGACTTAGGGAATGGAATAACACACTGCGGGTTCTTCTGATAAGAGCGAATTCCTGGATGAGCCCCACAGAAGAAAAGAATATTATTAAGATTTCATTTTTACCTTCTCCCCTTTGATCCCATCACAGAAGCACTGGCCTTTGTCTTTACAGACACATCCCTAGGAAAAGGGAAAAAGAAAGAGTTTTGTTTAAAAACAGCTTAATAAATCCTGGCTGACCAGGCAAAAGCAAACATATTTTTCTGTTCTTTGAGCGTTAAACACCATTTGTTAGGAGCCATACTGGGACAATAATATATCAAGAGAAACAGAACCAAGAAGTGAGAAGATGTTGCATTTAGGAAAGCTGTCGGGTGAGTGTACATCATTTTTATTATGTTGGGGAATTTAAGTTATTTATGGAAAAAAGGAAGTCATCTTTCCTTGTTTCAGGATAATGTATAGTTGTATCATATGAAATTGCCATAACCATCAGTAGAAAGTGGTCTAATGTTGGCAAGTCTCTTAGATTTAACTATATATATATGCATATGTGTATATTAACTGGTCATATCTTCTATAAGTGATTCAAAGATTTTCTTTTCCTGGAATGATGTTCAAGAAGAACAAACTAATTCACTAGTCTATCAACAGGTTCTTAGTATAAATCAAAAACAAAAATCTAGCTGTGAGCTTGGGCGCTCTTATCCTATCACAGTTACTTTGATACATTTTAGAACCTATGCACAGGCCAATTGTAATGAAGGTCGATTTTTGAAAATATCTCTGCCAGCAGAGGAACAAAGAGGTAGTTGAAAATACTAAATTTAAAATGTGTTTTGACACATGTTCTATGTTTATGTATTTATCTTTAAAATTTTTTTCTTTGGGTTAATATTAACTGAGAATGAGTTTGCTTTCCACAGGAAATGAATATTAATTGACAGCAAAAGCAGGGCAAGTCTAGGACCTGTGCTGGCTGGTTGGTAGGAAGAAATAAAATAGAAATTACCTCAGATATTTCCAAAGTGGAGGGCCCTATTTGTTCAATTAAAATAAAATGCTCAAGCAAAAACATCTTTATTTCCTGAACGTAGAACAGTAGGCTATGCTGCCTTTCAAGGAAGAGAAGTGTATAGTAATTTTCAGACACCAAATTTATACCTACCTCACAATTTATATAAATAGAAAGTGATTGACAAGGAAAATCTATATTCTCCTCAAGGGTTGGAGAGTTGGTATTTTTTAGAAAACGATTTTTCTGATTTTCCTCCCAGATGTTTGGGGTCATTCAGTCATAGCTTGACATAATATATCTAATCTTGTCTTTCTAGATTTTTAAACTTTATGTTCATTTCAATCACATATTTAAGAATACTCTACTGAAGTAATAGTTCTCAAAGTGGGGTTCCCCCATGAGCAGCATCCACACCACCTGTAAGCTTGTCAGAAATGTGAACTATCGGCCCTACCCCAGTCCCCCTGGATCAGAAACCTGATCTCAGGGGTGGGTCTCAGTATTCTGTTTTAATAGGCCCTCTGAGTGATTCTGATCCCACTGGTCTAAGCTATCATGTAAAATCTGAGTCTGCAAGCTAGAGCTAATTCTCGAAATGCGTCTGAACATTAGATCATTTGACATACTAATTTGCACATCAGTTTTCGTTTGGGATGTCTTTTTTTCCTGTCATCCCAAACAAGTAGCCAAGTTTTTGTGCCCCTCACTTTTGGGATGCTTTGTCACTGGGCTGAAAGTGAAAGCTGGCTGAAGACAAGAGCTCCAGCTTTTGTTTCTGGTTTCAGGACCTGCTGACAGTTGGTCCCAAGAGTTGGAGGGACAAGCATGCTGCTCCCACACAGCATGTGTATGTGTGGGGGTACAGCAGGGCCTCAGAGAGGAGTCTGAGTCTGAGTCCTACACCCAAGAGCACTAGATATTGGACAAGGAAGCACCACCTGCGTGAGGACCCAATGCCCAGGTTCACGTGGTGGTGATGGGCCACGGTTTTTAAGTAGACGGTGAGCATCTCTGACTCTTCTGCCTCCAGACACAACACAGAACTTTCTGGGAATCTCTGGACCATGGGTAAGAGGAGGCAAATGATCAATTCTCTAAACTCTGAGAAGGTAGATGGAGGTCATGAGGCAGGCCTTATTTTATTTCTTGGAGCGAACGCCATGTTGGCCATACGTTACTGGAAATCTTTCAATATGAGCTTGAACAGTTTGCCCCCGCATGAGATCAGGTCATCCTTCTTATTTGCTCCCATGAACACTTGTAGTTACATGTTTAATGTATATTTTCCCTGGGGCCTGTAAGCCCTAGGAGGGAAGGAATTATAGTCTTATTCACATAAGTAGCCCTGATGTATAATATATACTCAGCAAATGCTTGTGGATTCGATAAATGGATGGATGGGTAGATAGAAAACTGGTAATTTGTTTACATCCAATTTGGACCTGGAATTTCCAGATACAGGAGCCTATGGCTATTGCTGCACTGCCGTGACTGAGATATTTTCTCTACGCATGAATTATGCACAACTATCATTGAAGTGGCAAAAAATGAAACTAGAAGCCTTGGATATTTTAATACATGTTAAAATTAACAGCAGGCTAATTAGTTATTAGTTGCTTGGACTGAAAAGTCTTTTTTGGAAACTTTGAAACCCTTCAAGAAGTTGAAAAACAGTGCAATGAACCCTTCTAGAGCTTCCTATCTAGATATGCCAACTGTTACCATCTCTTTTTCTTTCCCTCCCTCTCACATACACACACACAGTTTTTGCCAAACTGTTGAAAAGTAGACTGCAGACACCATGACATTTCACTGCTAATGTTTCTGCGTGCATCTCCCCAAAACAACAGTATATTCTTATCCAGTTGAAACATCATTTCTGAACATAAAAAATCAACACTGATTTTTAAATTTCAGGTAATTGGTAACTTCAGGTTACTGGTTCTAAAGTGAGCTCTGGAGGCTTATATAAGATTATTGATGACCATTAGTAAATAAAAAGCTGTTTAATTTTTAGCAAATCTTTCAATTCAGACCCAGATTTAGACTCAATCAATGCTTTTACTTATAACCAATAAATGAAGTCTGTTCTCAACCTGTGGCTCTCACGGTTTCAAAGAAGAAGCCTTAGGGCTCAGACGGGTGGTATTCACAGATTGGGTATGGGGCTTGCTGTGTGACTGTATTATTCCCTTGAGTTCCCTCTTGCCTGGGGTCTGGCTTTCCATCTTCACCCACAGTGACTTTGCTCCCCTTTTCTGGTCATCAAAACCATGGTTCCTGATTTTTTACATTATTGTCCTTCAGTTGGAACATTAGGGGGTAACATGTTTAGGTTTTGTTTGTATTTGGTTTCATTGTCTTTACATTAAGATAAAAACCCTATTTGATAGTTCAAAACCAGCTGGTTGGTTAATTGAAAAAGTTAGTTAAATTGAGAAATTTAAAAAAATGAACAAACAGATCCATGAACATTTTAGACATTTTATAACTTAAAATATACACATGTATGCCAATTCTTCAATCTTATGAAATAGGGTCCAGGTCTTTTCTTTGGGAATGGGTCTGCTGTTGGAATTCTGCGACACCATTCTTCCTAAGCCACACCCATGATGCACCACTGACAATTTCAGCTTCTGGTTTCTTTGAAACAGGTTTATTCCTGGAAGATGCTTATGGAGCAATTTGAGTATGGAGTCCTTCTCGGCATTAAACCATGTTTTTCTCTAACTTCTTAAATGTTTTCTCAGCCATATTTAATTGAATAGCAGTTTCTAGTTGTCACAGAAATACAAATCTTATGCATTTGTATTTAACCAATTTGTTATTTAATATTTAACGAAATCACTTTGTTACTATAATAAGTACAACTGATAGAAACAACTAACTCTTGGCAACCATAAAACTCCACCAGTGGAGAAGGCATATGTCAATGTACTAGGGAGAAGCCTATGGGTCTCAGGTGGGCAGTGTCAGTGGGCATCGACCGATATACTATAGAGCAGGTATGGAGAGTTCTGGTCAGTCCAACAGTCACTCAAAAGGAGAGTCATTGTGAGAGCATCTATCTGTCCACCATGTCACCCACATGCAGGTGGTCAGCACAGTTGGCAAGATTCCAGAGCTAGGTCCAGGGCTGTTTCTATGCTTGGGTTAGCAGAAATGCTCCAAAACTCTTCCAGTTTTAATTTGCAGTTAAAATGACAAGGCATGGCCAGCCTATATACTTGCAAAATTGGACTGACCTAGGACTTCAGAGTATGTGACAATTTTGCTGACACACGGATGCTCCACCTGAGTGAATCAACTCAAAATTATAGTTAGGGACACTCTCTGGCTTTTGTTCAACTGCTACCTTAGAAGCAAGTGCTGTGCCTGTGATACCTCTGAGAACACTTCCCAGGCCATGGAAATTAGGCTCTTCACTTTTGGGATGGTAATGACAGTAGACTCAGACTCAAGATATTCATTTCTCCTAATTAAGCTGTTTTTCCTGAACTAATTTTTAAATTTGCAAATGTGTATGAATAATTCAAATAGATTATTTGGCTAAAAGGTACAGTGACTCTATTTTCATTATCACTGAGTTTGATCCACTTTTTTTGCAGCCACTTTTGAAACACCATGGAATGTGTTTCCATGGTAGAATAGACTATAACCCATTACCCTCTATTTAAATGTTAAATCACTTAAAAACCAGCTTGGCCAAGTGTTACTGGCCATTAAGAAAGCAGAACTAATGAATATTTCTTAAGCAAAAATTTTATGACTTTTCCTCTTCCAATAATAAAGTACCTCTTAGTTTCCATATACTTTAATGAAGTAAGAAATCATTTGTCATGAGCAGAAAGCTCTTAATAATGATTTTATGGGTTTTTGCACCCTGCTAGCCATTAATACATCAGGAAGTGATCCAAGATTACATGATGTTTTAGCACTTTTGAATATTAAATAGTTAAAACTTGTGAGAATAATTCATTTAAAGGTCACATGCATTTTTTACAACCTCACTTAAAATGTAAAATAAACTGTGATAGTAGAGAATCTTAATAGGTTTAGAAGTCAAGAAATAATAGTTCTTAGGCCATACCTACATAGGATCTGTTCCCAGACTTGTTAGCTGTGAACTGGAGCTTAGGACAAGTTACTTAATCCTTCCAAGTTACCTCTTCTTTAATGGAGGATATTAAGATCTATCCTCCAGGGGGGTTTTTTGTGAGTAGGATTTGAGATGCTGTCAACTGAGGAGCCTGCAGAGTGCCCTGCTTCCAGTCAAAGGGGGTCACTTCTCTCCCCTTTCTTGCTGTACTAGGCCCAAGGACACACACACTATTATCTGATACTTCCTACCATCGG